ATTGTTTTTATGTAGCATTTAATTTGTACATATTGACATCAAAAATGTGTTTATAACATAAAAAATTGTTCTTTTGAAACTTAATTTGTATATATTAATATCAATAATATCGTTTTCGGTACACGAGTATTAAAAATTGAAAAATAGACCAATATTATTTTTAGTTCAAAAAAAAATATATAACAGTTTGACGATAGAAATTAAATTAATTTACTTATATATAAATCACCTACGTAGGATTTACCAAAATTAATCGTTTTAAGAAACTATTGTTGTTATAAAATCATAAAATAGATAAAATAGATTTCATTTACAAAGTAGAAAAACTCATTTTAACTTCAACTTTACACGTAAAAATTACGAAGATTTGCTCAATATTCCGGATTTTTCTTATTTATAATCAATTTTTATTTTTATTTAATTAAGTAAGTATCGTAATTAATAAAATATTAGCGTGTAATTAAAGCTACGAGCCTCTGATCGGTAACGTTTCTACCATAAGGACATAGTAAGATGTTTCGTTTTCGACTACGAGTGACGTCAAATAAGCAACCAATGAGAAGCGTTTCTTCTCTATGAGGCAACCTGATAATCTAAGACCTTGTTTTACCCCAGAAACTCTGGATTTCTGATTGATGTGGAGAAGTAGAGAAAGAGGTATAAATTTGTATTAAGTGAATGGAAACTTTTCGAAAGTCGTGTGATAAACTTTAGTCAATATTGCCCGATGTTGTTTAAAAAATTTATTGAAGAAAACTACAAGTTTTGTAAGTTTTCGCAATGATAGGTAAAAAAACATCATCTATTTGACATATTCTGTTCTTGTGATTTTTATCATCTTTTAATAAAGATTTTTACTACCCATATGGTAGTAAAAATTTGAACATTATTACTTCATTACAGACACTCACTCTGGTATTTTAAAACAAAAAGTATTCACATTCTAGGTTTTTCCCATGTCAGGAAAAATTTTGTGTTTATTAAGATCATCTGCCGGCAAAGAATAACTTTCGGAGAAGCAGTCTCACCTAGCAGTATCTCTGACTCACAGAGATATCAGCAATGCTATTGCAAAATAAAATGCAAGTGTCGCTCGCTGATAAATAGTTCAAAATGCCATACTAGTTTGTTTTTTAAACTCTTTCCGCCCTGTGGGCCTTTTCCTTTTGTAAGTCTATTATGGATTCGGCCAGCCTACAATGAGGAAGCCGGGTGATGAGGGACAGGGCCTGACATATCTGGGCGGACTACCTATCAAAAAATTCCTGGTGATTATTCAACCCATCCGTATTCGATCCCAGGTCCCCCAGAGCGGTAGGTTGCCACCTTGACTGCTCGGCCATCCGGCCTAAGCCATACTAGTTTCAGTTGCAACAATAGATCTAAATAATTTTTAAAATGTTCAAAATAAAAACTTTTTAAGCTAAATTGGTATTATATAATCTTGCGTATCGATAGTTGCATGACAGCGTTACTAATGAGAATGTCCGGGAAAAGTGATACAATACGGTAAATATTCTGCGCATTCACAATGTATCCCGAATGAAACTGGGAATTTACGTTAATGGTCAGTCGATAACTTTCTTGCCCTACAATGTTGAATGTGCCTTTAACGTTATAAACCAGCTTTTAACACCATCGGTTATCTTGTCGTCTCGTATCAGCTAGTTGGGGCAAAAACTGTACGCCAGGGGTGGCCAACAGTTTTTGCCCCCGGGCCGAATTGGAAAGAAAAGTTTTTTCACGGGCCGAACCAGAGGCTGCCCTAGGAAGATTTTGAGCGAGATCTCATTGTGGTATCACCCCGTAGAGACTAAATTGTGCATAGAGATTACAGATACATTTTTCACATTACCATGCTTTATCAACGTTCTACGCTGTACTTAAGAGATTTGTAATGGAGCGTTAACTCTAAATGCACACTGAGTTGTTGACCTTTTTTTTAGGCGTCATACTTTTTCATCGAGCTATTCGGACTTGAATAGCTAATATTAAAAGATTAATCGCGGGCCACATAAATTCATTAGACGGGCCGAATCTGGCCCACGGGCGATGTTATATCGCCTCGTGGTAAAATGTGACGTAATTGTCATGTAGTAGTAGTTGTATGCGTTTATAATGGTCGTTATGGCAGGGAATAATGACTTCCGGGAGGTCTCTTAAGGGTAACTGACACTATTCAGGCGTTTCAGACATGGAGAAAACCCAGAAAACTCCATGTGGCCAGCCCGTCCTGGCAAGGCGCGAACCCATGACCACCAGTGTTCAGGGAACAGAGCCGCTTGGCCACTGGTAGTCCAACCATCAGTATTAGTCTAGTATGTCTCCATCTGAGAAAAATCTAATCACTATGGTAGACTGTCTCTACATTAACATTTTTTTTACAAAAAATACAAAAGAAAAAAAACGTCAAAAATACATCAAATCAGAGGAAACTAGCAAGCTATATTAAAATATCATTGAATGGCAAGTCAATGTGCATATTTTTCTCCCCAACACGCACAATTTTACACCAATATAATAAATTTTTATTTTTGTTTAATTTTTTCTTTTTTTAAATAAAAATAACGGCCGATAGTGTCGCCAGAAGTTTATCGGTCTTTATTATAAAAAATGAAAAATAAAATTTTTTTAAAAAAGTTCTAATGTAGAGTCTACTGTAGGGATTAGATTTTTCTCATGTGGAGACATACTACGCTAATACTAACACCATCTTTATTTCCATATCCATATACGCGTTTCGGGAGCTTTACCTCCCCTCACAGGTATGGTAAATTTAGTTTTTTGGAACATCCTTATACTTAGAGTTATTTTCAAAAAAGTTTAACCATCGAATGGCAATACGATTGTCTATGAAAGTTTACAATGGTTCTTTTGGTCCCAAATCGTTTCGGAACTGGACCATTCTAACCCGTTTTTCTGGGCTGAGCGGTCAAGGTGGCAGCCTACCGCTCTGGGGGACCCGGGATCGAATCCGGATGGGTCGAGAAATCCCCAAGAATTTTTCGGGGAATGGTCCGACCGGATATATCGACCCGGTCGCCCCATTGTCGGCCTGGCCGAACCCATAATGGGCTTGCTAAAAAGAGGCCCTCTTAGTGCCCACGGGGCGGAGAGTTTTAAAAAACCCTTTCCTTGTTTAAAACTTAAATAAATTGTGTCAGATTTATTTATAGTTTTAAAAACTGTATCTAATTCATTCTACTGAGAACGAATTTCTAAAAACGTTATATTCATCATATAACAAAAATATTAGTTGATCGCCCCATTTTGGGCCTATCTGAACTAATGACGAGCATTGAAAAGCCTTAGTGCCCACAGGGCGGAAAAATTTTTAAAAAGAACCTTTAATTTTAATTTATTGAATAGAAGAAATTGAACAGGCCGCCGCTCTGGCAGACTGGGATCGAATCCGGACAGGTGATCGATCCAAATATTGTGCAGCACGGCGATTGCTTCGAAATAAAATCAATCAATAAAGAAAACAGAGAAACGATTGTAAAAAAGGTGCACACAAAAATTTGTTAAGTTACTATTTGCGTCTTTACAAGTCGTTGCTTTTTAAGACCTATTCCAATTACTTTTTGGACGACGTACAACACTAAAAATTGTCCCGTTTAATGTCCTAATGGCAATAATCCCATTATATATATAGTAATTGTTTTGTCTAATCCAGATGTTATTTTTATTATTGTTTTTATATAAAATTGTTTTATATCACTCAAATTTGTTACATATATAAAATTTTCAACCTTTAAAATTATTATTTATTCCTTAAATTATTACATTTGCTGAAAGTATTTGTATCAGATTAAGGAGATCATTTTATATTTATAGTAGATCATCAGTGAGGTGTTTAAATTACGAATGCGAATACGAGTGAATTATGTAAAAAGAATGAAACACAAATTTAAAATATTGAAAAGTATTTTAAAGATTTATTTAATCGTTTAAACTTTTTTTTATTCATACGACTATAATATAGCCTACGTTATGGAAATACACATTTGCACAAAGCAATAAGGACAGAGAACTCGTTGCTTGTTGGAATAATTCGCCATATCTACATCTAATGTGCTGTTTCACTTCTCATGTGTGATACGATTAGTGATGTAGCACTGACAGGAATCGAATAGTGACAAATTAGCATTTCACAATTTTTATTCATGCAATTCGTGTACGCAAGATGTCCTTTCGTACTAAATCAGTCATGCTCTAGTTTGTGTAATTGACTTTTTTCAGTACGGGCATTGTTTTTGAGATAGTAGAGTTAACTTCCGAATTTTACAGCCAGGGGCGCTGCAAGCGATTTCGTCTTGTAGCACTTAATCACATACAAAACTAACTACAGTATATGCGTTCGTCAGTTGCTTGGGTGTACTGTATAAGGACTTTACTATGCATCCTATATACTACTATTGAAAATTCAAAAAAATAAAAATGTCTAAGATATTATTATACTCAGCTAGTTGGGGCAAAAACTGTACGCCAGGGGTGGCCAACAGTTTTTGCCCCCGGGCCGAATTGGAAAGAAAAGTTTTTTCACGGGCCGAACCAGAGGCTGCCCTAGGAAGATTTTGAGCGAGATCTCATTGTNTAATTTTATTTATCTAACATATAAGGTCTATCATATTCAAGAATATTAATAAATTAGTTAAGATCATCGGTTACGCTTTTACAAATTTGAAATTTATCCTATAGGAAGTGTATTGTACAGTACAGTACTTAGTATACAAGTTGATTTTTCTCATAAAAATACAACATGTTTAGTCAGTAGCTAATAAAGTTACAAAGATGATTGGTGGAATACTTACTTCATCGTATTGCCAACGTTCTGACGAAATTAATCCTTGTGGACTCGTTATGGCAATACTTGGCAATTCACACTCTTATGAGATCAACTAAACTGTTAATTAGAATAGCATAGGGTCTGCGGCTTATCGATCTTCGTGTTTTTATTTCTTATAAAGACCGAGTTTTCTTTTTTTTAACTTTAAGTAATTAAAATTGATCTCTCTATCTATTTCTGATGTTAGAACTGTTACATTTTCTAACTTCTTACTTAAAATTCTTTAAAATAACCTCTTTCACAATTATGTTCAAAAAGAATAACAGTAATATATTTTTTTAAATTTCAACTAACAGTAAGAGAAAATGAGATATTTCTCCAGTTATAAATAAATCAGTTTTAGTAGATTAAAATACACTCAAGTCTAATCAGACTTAAAAAAAATACATAAAGTCAATCCATAAAATATCTCATTCAAAACAAGAAAAAGAAAAAAAAACAAAAAAAAAAATTTATGTTTAACAATTTCTTCACACAATTTTTCTTCTTCAATTGGTTCCCTGTATGTTTTGTATCCTTTAGTTCAACATTTCCCAAATGGAATTTTTTAAACCACATTTGACACGTTCGAAATTTGGGAGCATCTTCCCCATACACATTACAACTTTTTTCTTTTTTTATTTTATTGTTTGTATGGCATTATATTCTCTTCGAAACTCAAAGCATAATATGACTGATATGCTTTTCATTGGAAGACATTTCAACTTGATTTTATTCAAACAAAATATGAACTAAAAAAGTTTAAGATAAGCTTCTAAACAAAGAATACAATCTCACATTCACAATGTGTTACTAACGTGAAGAAAATCCCAAAAACTCCATGTGGACAGACCGTTGGCAAAGCATGAGCCCACGACCACCAGTGTTCAGTGGTTTTTTTCCACTTGGGACTCTGGTGGGCCGGAGGACACTTGAAGGAATGGCTAGATCATCTGAGGAAAAGATAAGCGATGTCATATATTGATCAAACAATGAAAGGCAGCTGGTCAAGACAAACTTGAGTTGGATCAATCGAAATGGGCTGATCAAAACCGACCTATCCTTCTTTCTGGAACTTTACTCTTTATCTTTGGATATGTGATCCCATTGAGCAACGATTTTTCTTGATCTGTCCCTCAGAACGTGTCCTCCTCCTTCTGGAGCCCCGTAAAATGTAAACTAAATTTTATTAAAAATTTTATAAAACGTGCGAAGATTAATTTTTTTTAGCGATCTAAGCAAGGCCAAGGAAAAGTGTCATATGAAAAGTATTATGAAAGATAACTTCTGCAAAATACCCTGCTCTTCTCACAATTCTGACGATACCTCAATACAAAATAAAAGCGTTATAAAAAAAAACACTGTTATAACTTACTAGAAAGAGTGCAATCTTATAAAAGCAATTTGGACGTAATTCCATCATTTCTACACATGGTATCTATGGTTCATGAGGTTTTAAAGGTGGGTTGAGTTTTGCTGGATGTCTGAAGAGGGATGGGGAGTTATGGAAACTTAAACAAACTGGAACAAAGGAAGGAGTAAAAACTTCAAGAAAAATGTGGACATAATTTATGGACAGTCAATGACTAGGCCTATTGTAAATATTGGAATAATTAAAGTTGATTTGTGTAAATCAATGAAACAATTTGAATTATGCCAGAGATTTATTAATAAAATTAAAAGTTAAAACTAAGAAATTTTCTTTATAAATCATTAAATCATTGAGATAAATAATATTTCAAATTCATCAATTTTCGAATGATTCATTTAAATCGTTCTAAAATTCAGATTCAAAATGATTTGAATTGAAATAAAATTTACTTTGAAAATTATTGAATGCTATCTTATCTAATGTTGTAAACTTTTCTAAAAATCAGTTGGACTACTCATTACAAAATTGTTCTGAAAAGAATCGTTTTGTTACTAGATACAAAAATCTAGCAAATCAATTCCCTATTATGAAAGAAATTCATTGATAAAAATATCTTTTGAGTAATCTTCTCTTCTGTTCTTTCTTAACTTAGATCTTCTTTACCTTCTCTGTTAATTTGATCAATTTCTTTTCATGCTTCTGCCAGCATTTATTTTTGATCTCCCCTTCTTTCTCAATCTGCTGCATTTTTTAATTTTCCAGCGTCCTTCATGTTGATCCATTCAACTGATGTGATTATGATCAGAGGCAGACATGATATTCAAATTAATATCCAGTTCTGCTCCAGATCTTCATCAGTTTTGGAGGAGTTTCCTCCATTCTGAATGATTGAGATCTTTTTTGTTATCTTGTTGCTAGAAGAAATGATCATAACATAGAACAAAGCAGCAGCAAATTTGATATTCTCGAATAATGCTTAAAAAGTTATTGCATTCTTTTTTCAAATATTTTAAATTCAAATTTAAACATAATTAATTAGACAAAACTTTTAATTTAATTCATAGTTTTCATATTTGAAAAGTTTCTGTGCTTTTTAATTATAATTTGATAAAGGCAGATGCCAACATTAAAAAAACACACCCCCTTTATCAAGTCACTAAAACAAGGATTTATTCTAGCCACAAATCTTTTATCAAGAAAATTGAGTTTATAAATGATTGATTTGACCGACTATTGATACAAACTTTTATATAATCACACAAAATCATGTTACTTCATCACTTATTTATTTGTCTTAGAACAGACAAGTAAAACTAGAAAAAAAAATTTATTGACATCTATTTTCTCTAATAATTTCTAATATAGAAATATTTTTGAAATACTAAACTTATATTTTTATCAAGAAACATTTTCATTGTGAAAGTTTGAAAATAATTTTTGTTGAATACAGTTATACATTAAAAATATTTTAAAGATATGTGCTAGGCTATATCATTAAACTTTACAAATAATTTTATAGTATGACAGACAATAATTAATAAAAATAAAAATTCTTACTATGATTAATTATAAAATAGCATATGAATCGTAATCATCAGCTGACATGTAGAGTTGAGCTTAATGATTTTAAACTGATAACCCTTCGCTGTGGATAAGGTCTCATCCATTCTGGAAGTCTTCTATTACAGCTCGCAAAAATTGTTATAACAATTACAATTCCCAACATAATAAAGCATAAAGTTAATGAAGGACCTTCATTCTTTAAAAATAAATACAAATCATAATTAAATTTGATTAAACAATAAATAAATATATATTATATCTTAAATATAAAAATATTAAGAAGTTCTTATTTATAAATATAATTATTGTATTGTTTATTTACTTCAGTATTTAAAGAATTTTTCACTTGTCTTTCTTTCCACTCAATGAGATATTGAAATAGTTGTTCATAAAGTGGATGAATACTTGCCAAACTTTCCTATAAATTATTAATGTATATTTTATGCTTTACAATTACTTAATAATATATAATATTATATAAGTTAATATCAAACATACTTCCAAAATATCACTTGGTGGATTAAATAGGTCAAAGCATTGCATTCCAGGTTTGTCTCCTTCACCCCATAATTCAATTGCATAAGAAAATGGAATCTATTTTCATTAAAAAAAAATATATATATATATATTTATTNNNAAATATTAAATAAATATATGTAAATATATATATATATATTTTATAATCAATACCTTTCTAATACCAGCCATATAATCAAATACTGTACCATCTGCAGGATAATTTACAATTTGAGCTGCTTGGCCATATGCAAATTGAGGAGTCATTACTTCTGACATACGTTTTGCTAAGTCCATCATATTTCTTAAATTTTCAGGCTTGCGATTTATTTTCTTTGATACCGAATCTAAAATATATTATAAAAGTACATGTATCACGAACATTCATAACTTATACAAGAAATACTATGTAAATACAAATTTCTAAATATTTCAGTAACAAAATTAACAAGCAAAAATTTTTGTGACATCATCACAATGCCAGGCTGCAATTTGTAATCATATTTTTAATTTATTTAATTTAAAATATTTTTTATGATCTCAGTCTGAACGAGTAGTGTCTTTTCCCTGTAAATCATACTTTTCCTGATAACAACAGAGTCATGCCAGTCATCTACGTAACTCTGTTCTGGGAAAATTTTTTATATATTTATATAGTAAAATCATTTTATATCTATACATTTAAAAATTACATTGTTATTTTGTATTAAATTTAATAATTAGAATTAAATTATTGATTTACAATATTCTAAAACAAAAGATCAATCCAGAGCAGCACTAACAACTGATTACCATGCAGCAGCATTGCCAATTACATTACCCAGATCCTGGGCTGGTTTTGCACTGTTTTTCCTTAATGCTACAGATATTTGGCCGCCCCTATCATTGCCGATTTCAAGCAAATTCATAACTTAACACAACCCATGAGAGCCTACTGGTATGTTTCATGACAGTTTCATATACTTGATAAGGATTAAAAAATCTATATATAAATCTATATAAAAATATTAAAAAATCTATATAAAAATATTTGATATACTGTATATTTATTTTAATTTTATTCAAATCAAGCTGCCCTGTACGTAACGAGTGTTTTTGCTCAAAGTTATATTTTAGCATCTCCTAAAAATAAAATTTGCAAATTAAAATGAAACTAATTTAACCCCTTCTGGGCTCTTCTTCAGGTGAAATAGCTGGATCGCTTTCAAACATAGCGCGTGACGGAATAAGCGAACAAAAAGAATGATTCAAACTCAACAGAGTTCGGATTTATTCAAATTTCGTTTTTATGGTGTTCGATCCAGCTATTTCACCTGAAGAAGAGCCCAGAAGGGGTTAAGAAAACGTTCGTCTATGATAGATTAATTGGATACACATCAGTTATAGGTTCATGTAAGTCGTATTTATTTCATTCAACCCAGTGTGCAGTTGCTATTTTATAATCTCTGGAAAATGTTCCTGATTATCATATATGTAAAAAGACATTACAAATGATGGCTTTTTCATTCAAGATACATTATAAATGTAACTCATCCACATCTGTAATGTTAAAGTGCAAATCTTGACCCTTAATATCACCATGACCAATGAACCAATTTGGATAAAATTTAAAATATTTAGTGTCCCTGATGAGTACTATGGACATCTTAAATTTTCAATAAATTCATTGGATTGTTTTGGACTTATGTAATCAGAATTTTGTCACCCAGATTTAAGAAAGAGAATAGTGACACCAAGCTGCCAAACAGTCTAGAAAGAGTTATATATATGTTTAATAGCTTGTTTGATAGCTCACCACCTCCTATTTTTCTCTTTTGACAGTTTTATTTAAAAATATTGAGTATTTATAATATCTCATTTTTTAAAATTTGGCATATTATTAGTTAATCAGTTATCATATCACATGATGTTCTGCAGACTGTCACATGAATGTAAGATGAATATAGAATTATCATAAAAACTATTCTATTATGAAGTTATTGATGATTAAAAAATACTTGAAAACCCATTTAAAAAACTGGTAGAACCAGCTTGAAAAGTAAAGCTCAGAAAAAACATCTAAATAAAGGAAACTTTTGAAAGTTATAGCATAAGAACACTGAAACCAGATCTGACAGTAGGACTCAACATGTATATAAAGTGCATATTATTCAGACTACAGTTATAAAAAGTTTTGAATGAAGCATAATAATAATCAGGATAACCACGATAATAAATTTTGACAGTAAAGTTTCTTCACTAATATTGTTCAAACGTGCTCTAATGTTCAGCCAAATTATTGTAAGTGAAACAATTTTAAGGCACAAAGTAAAGTTCAAAGCCTTTTTCTGTGATGATGCTTGTTTTCCAGATTTATTATCAAGGTAAATTGCTTCATCTAAAACTTCTTGTAGTTGTAGGCTGTGTATTGTGCACTTTATGTACATGTTGAGTCCTGTCAAATCTGGTTCCAGTATTCTTATGCCATAACATTCAAAAGTTTTCTTTATTTAGATGCTTTTTCTGAGCTTTATTTTTCAAGCTGATTCCACCGGATTTTTTTATGGGATGTGTTTAATATGTTTGCATCAACTTATAAAATCAAAAGTTAATATAAGCAGCATTCATTACTCATTTATTTTTCTATTTTTATGACTTTATGATTTTATATATAAAATTATAATCATAAAAATTATATAGTTATATAAATAAAATCATAAAGTCATATAGGTGTGTGTGATTTATGTTAAAAATATTATAAATAGAGATTTAGTATAAAATCGCTGTTTATAATATTACAATAAAAATTTAAACAATAAGACAATTATCAGATCTTGGATATTTGTTTTACAATAATTCTTTGATAATTTAAAGTAAATCAATCACTTGAGGAAATTCCATTTGTTTTTATTATATAGTTATTTTTAATATTTTTTTTAATATTCATACAATAAATTCTTACCTGCAAAAGGTAAATAAATTTCTCTTATTCCTGAATGAAATGATATAAAAGCATCAAATTTATGTTTTCGAGTCAATTCAATTAAGATCTGACATTCTGGTTCTGTAAAAATAAATTATTTCAAACTGAAAATTTATCTTATTTTATTAATCTTATAATATAATCAAGATGGGTTGATAATGATAATAATAATGATAATAAACATAATCAAGTAGCAAATATAATACACCAAGAGCTTGCAAAGAAACACAAATTATTAGAAATGCACAAACCATACTACAAATATCCACCGAGTATTGGAAAACAACATGCACAAACTGTACTACAACAGAGCCATAATCACAGATAAAACAATTTACCACAACAGACCAGACATCACACTCATTGACAAACACAATAAAATCACATACATTATAGACATAGCCATTCCAAACACTCACAATATACAAAACACATGCACTGAAAAAATTAGCAAGTACACAGAACTCGCTCAAGAAATAAGGCATCTGTGAAGGATGGATAGGGTGCTTATTGTACCTGTCGTTCTCTCCTGTACAGGTGTGATACCACACACACTACACAAAAGCCTGGGAACATTACAATTGAAGAGAAATACATACATCACACCACAGAAAACCACTATATTGAATACATGCCATATTGTTAGGAAATTCCTGAATACAGACACAGACACACTTATTTAATTTTAGTTCTTGTTTGCTATGCCTTGACTCTGGTCTGGCATAGTACACAGCCACCGGTGTGTACCGAGTATAACCCACTAAACCCAACATGATAATAATAATAAGTGCAGAGCCCAAACAGTTAGGAGTTGAAAGTTGAAATTTGGTACACAGTTAGGGAACGGTATGAGAACGTACACTAAGAAGGGATTTTTTGAAATTCCCCCATGGGGGAGAGGGACAGGATTAAAGCTTACCGTAAAGAACTTGGCTTCTATTATACTATTTTAGATGTGGTTTTTTGCGGTTTTGATTGTGTTTTAATAGGGTATGCCAAGAGAATGCACATTAAGAAGGGATTTTTAAAAATTCCCACTACAGGGGAGAGGGAGTGAGTTAAGGATTACCTCGAAGAACTTAGCTTCTACTGTACTATTTTAGATGCCTTTCTTGCATTTATGCGTGAAATCGAACATATTTTTAGACCCTTCTAAAAATTCTCAACGATATTTAGTGTTCCATTGTATATAAAGTTGACATGGGGAGTGCATGCACATAAGTTTGCTTTATTCGAACTCCATTTAATGTTTGACTTTATATTCAAATTTATATTTATGAATGAAGATCCAGCTTATTTTTCAAATTTAGTAAACCTGAAGAAGAACCCAGAAAGAGTTATGAAAACTTTTATTATTCATCACTTAGTTGTAGTATGTACCAGTTAGTGGTTGCAGTGAGTCTTAACCCCTTAAAAATTTGAGAAAAGAAAATTGAGCTTAAAAATTCCAAAACTGAATATGTCTGAATTATTGTTAGAAATTATTTTTTATTAAATCAAATTTAATATTCTATGCACAATTTAATAAAATTTTATTACACATTTTACAGAGTTCTCTTAAATATTAGATCATTGCTTCTTAAATAAAACATTGGAAATACACATATTTCTGTACACAATCAGGCTATGAAAGTATCTTTGGAAAATCTGTTACTTATCAGTAATCTTTCAAATACCACTTTTCCGACTAATTAAATTTTTATTATTTGTAAAAGTATATTCATACCTTTTGAACAGATCTCAAGTTATCCTTTACAATGTTCTACATTTTGATCAATGATGTAATAAAGTAATGTATATTAAGTGTTGTCTATAAAACTTCTTAGTTTACTGTAAAATCTTGCATAATTCAATCATAGTAAACAAACAGACTTGCTTTTAATAACTTTTTAATATCTTTATTGATATTTATTGTATTTTTGTTCATAAAGTAACTGATTTAGTAAATCGCTCAATCATCTGCACACAACACTGTGCAGCAGCAAAACTAAACTTTTTTTGCTGCTGTCAGGGCCCGCTTTAGGGGTGGACAACCCAGACATTTGTCTGGGGCAGCAAATCTAAAGGGCAGCATTTTGTTTGTAAATGTGACAAAATATTTGTAAGTTAAATACTTAATTAATCGAAATTTATATTTGCCGATTTTTTTCTGTGGCTAAAATTACCATGCAATTTACATTTCGTATTTATTATTTTTGCCTAAAAGCTAAGAAAATATTAGCATTCCTTAATTCTGAAGAAAACAATCATAAAAGAGGGCTTTTGAGCAAAAAGGAAAGCATAAGCAACAATGTTAAATTTTGTCTCAAACCTTACTGTCACCTTAAGAATACTGCTGATCATACTAATAACTGTAGCTAATGGGGGAAAGGAGTTTCTCTAAATAAAAATTAATTAAAAACTTTTTACGTTCCACTACCATGCAAAATCATCTTAATTAATAGTTTGGTCAATTTGGCAATTGCACTTGAAACTGCTGATCAAGTAAACTTAAAAGAATTAGTAAAAATGTTTGCAGAACTAAAAGTGAGAAAAAAGTTTCTTTTGATTTTAGTATAGTTGATGTACTTTTGTTTAGTTTTTATAGGATATAAGTGTTTTGTTTGATTGTACAATAATACATTTTTGTAATATCATTAAAAATGCATCTAGTTAACAATTTGTAACTAGGTACAGGTATATTTTAATTTTTACTGTTTTGGACTACTTGATTGTTAATTTTATATTACATGACTGTATGATAGTTTGGGATAGCTTTTTTCCTATTTGACTTGTCACCAACTAATGTTGGTATCTGGACTGTAAAGTACTGATTTTTTTTGTAGGTTAATTGTTTTGTTCTGTTGTCTGAAATAGATTTTTTTCATTCCGAATATTGTGATTCTCTAAATAAATAACAGAATTTACAAAATAGCCTACCTGAAAATGCTTGAGAACCTCTTAATTCTTCTGTTCCTTTCTGAGCTGAACTGCCTTCTCCTCCATAATTCCAATCAAAATTACGATTTATATCAACACCAGTACTGGTTCCTCTCCAACAATAATTTTGTGTTTTTTCCACATAATGTCTTCCATCTGGATTCATTAAAGCAACTATAAAAAGATCTACTTTGGAAAAAATATGACGACTAAAATTTTCTTCTGGACTATTTCTTGGTGATGATAAACCTTGTGTTAAGTTAGTAAGAAAATAAAAAAGACTTTCAATAGGAAAGAACTCTCGAGCATGTTCGCCATACGATAATAAAACTTTAACTTTCGGCAACATATAGAATGGTTTATTCATGAAAGCTGTTCTACTGTCAGAAAAATTTGCTATGTGTAAAAGGAGTTGAGAAAAACCTTCTCTTGATTTAAAGGAATCATCTAAATGAATATATTGAGGATTTCTCTCTACAATTTCATTCAAGTGAGTATATATTTGACTCATATTATGATAATGATTGTAATCAGGAAGATATTTTTCTTTTCTTGGAGATATTCCATTATCAGCTACATGTGGAACAAACAAAGTATAAAATACTAAACATAAATATATACTGCTGAAATACAATCCAGGTTTCATTATCTAGATTCAGTACAATTCTTGTTGATTACAGTGAATAAAACTGAGACTTTAAAATTATTCATTGGAGGTCTTGTTTCTTTTCATTGAATAGTTTCAGTTTTAAAATATATAGTTGTATTCAATTAGTCTATAAAAAGAAAAAAAAATTAATAAATTTATAATTGTAATTTATATTTTATATACTTTTTATTTAAGTTATTACTAGACATGGATGTTTGAAAGATTAATATTTTAATATTTCATTGAAACTTTGTATTCATTAATGTCATTTGCATTTTTTAAACTTTCTAAAATACATATTCTTATAAACTAAATTAAATTAAAAATCCTCTAAATTTAATTACATTTCAGGAATATATATTGAAATATATTTATAAATTAATATATTTATTTTTATAATCCTTTTTGTTATATTGGGAAATATTTTTAACCAGTTGTCAGATAATGATTTGTCTCATTCAGGTACTCAGCTGGTATATACAATGTGGTTTAGCCATTTTCAATATTTGTTTTAAGATGTTATTGTATGTTTTATTCTATTATTATTATTATTTTGTATATTTTCTCAACATGCAGGATGCATTGACATGAAAAAATACTGAAAGACCTAGCATATAAACTCATATGTAAATACTGTTTCATACTTAAAACAGTCACTAGTGCAGTGAACCAATTGTTAAATACTTGAATCCCACCACTGTAAACTTTGTTGACAATATAATTCACATCATATATGCATTTTTTGTACTTTTCTGTTAAAAATAAAAACATTAATTTTAAACATTGAATTTTAAAACTGTTTCATTTTTTTGTTTTACTTTTGCATGTCATTCAGTATAACAGGAAGCATATTTCACAGGGGCAGATCACACACAGGATTGCTCCCGGACCTATGGACCTATGGTTCCTTTTGCAGTTTTCATTCCTTACGGGAACAACCTACAATCTTAACAAGAAGCCAACAATGCCCAGCAGAGAGAAAACAGCACCTCTTTCTTGGTATAACAACTGTTATCCTAAATCTTTAATTAGTATTAAAATTACCTTTATTTCACTTGATAACATTTCACTTCATTGGATATAACTGAAAAGAAAAAATAATCATTTTTTTACCTCCACAACTAATAAAAATAAACCTGAGTTATGTTTTTCACTAACCATAAATAAATATTAATTTATAATAATTATTATTATTTGTTTTAAAAATTTAAAAATTGAATTAAATATATTTGAAATTATATACTAAATAAATATTAAAACCCCGAATGTATTTACTTAAGAATTTCTATTTTTTCCTCATAATCGATACAGTAAAAGCGTATATTGTCAAAGTAGTAAACCGAAATACGAGCCATACGTTTGGTTTCCAAAACAAAATTATAATTCATCTAAGAACCGCTAGGGGCGCAAATGTCGTGTTTATTACAACAATTTACGGAGAACTTTGGAATTTAACATAACATCGACAGATTTTTATCGATAAATGTTATCATTTATCAGTTATTTAAAAAATTTTATGTCGAAATTCTTTCTTTCTAAATGAAAAATATTTTATAGACAAAATTTTGATTTTATGGAAGTTTCTATTCCCCAATAATATAATTTCTCACAGCTCATTTATGAGGCTTAAGAAAAATAAATAAATAAAAATATTGGATTATATATATATATATATTAGAAAAGACGCTATTTCTGGTGGAATTAAATTAAATGTATTGAACAATTTTTAAACCGTAATAACATAAATTAATGGCATTGCAGTTTTTACCATTATTTAATGGTATTATCAATAATGCTATGAAATAATGAATTTTAATTAAATTCATTAGTATTTTTACTTGCGAACATATATCAAACTTTGAACTTTTTATGAGCAGTATCTGATTAATCTATTCACACTCTTTAATTTCACATGAGTATCTTCAGTAATTGTTTTAAATAAAATTATTTAATTAACAGAATACATATGCATGATTCGTCTCTATATTATTCATTTGAATTTAATTTTAATTAAATTTTATAATAAATATAAATATTCGTTATCATATCTCGTCATTATGAGTACCTGGGGGCTAGGATGGAAAATTGCATCTGAGATTTGCTTTGTTCTTTCTCTTTTTTTGATTTTTCCCAATAATAATTTTATACAGCAATTGTATTTCTGTAAGAATAAATGACGTCGACATTTATAGAAAATATTATAACAATCATTATTGTTTGTTTAGTTATGGCAACGCAACACTTCGGCGATCTGCGTAAAGGGTGATGCTTTCCAGGGGGCCTTTTTGAGGTGAACTGGCCCCTAGTTAGCCGTTACACACATGAAGAAAACCCGGAAAATTCCACGTGGTCAGCTCGTTCGCGCGAGGGGCGAACCCACGACCGAATTCACAGTGTTCATGGTACGAAGACCGCTCGGCCGCTGGTGGACACCGATGAGTCAAGGTTCAATCTGCAAAGGTCAGACATTCCAATATCTGTAAGGCAGAGATGAGATTTCATTCCAATTGTATTGTTCATTGTCATCTATTCTGTGTAGGGTTTCTCATTTCCCGGTCTTTTGCTTGTCCGGGATTCCGGGATAAAAGTGAACTGTTTTCCGGGATCCCGGGATAGAATTAATTATTTTTAAGGTATACAAAATATCTTGAAATTAAATGATATAATTATTTTTCATTTTTTAAAGTAATTTTAAAGTTCTGTATCATCCAAAATCATATTAATAATGCTGTGCAAGATATATAATAAAAATTACCTTTGAATTACGTATAAATTTTCACAAATAGAAAAATATTTGTTAAAGTTTGCTAGAAACTGTATACAACAGCAACAACAAAAATGCTTTGAATTGAGTTAAAAATTAAAAATTGAACTTAGATCAAACTTATAACTTAGAAGGTAATTTTCGTTTTTTTAAATAAAATATAATACAAAATATTGCAAACTTTTATAAGATTTTAAAAAGCAAAGATGATCAATACTCCGATCACTCACTCTAATTCTTATTTAGTAATGAAAAGTCTTGCTACCGAGAATGTCATTTCCGATTCAATTGATGTGATTGGAATCGTGTTTAATGCATTTAAGAGAAGACAGATATTATGTGTTTTTTCACCTGTAGTCTGGAAGATTTCGAGTTCGTTTTCGAGATTGTAGTACTTCTTTCGCTCTCTAGTATTCTTGATTTGTCTACCTTGGCTGCTTTAATAGCGGCATCAAGCTTAGAGCTCGATAATTCGGCAATTCATTTGGCTTTAATAATCAGGTTTATGAAGAAAAACTTCATACTTGCAGACTTTGTACTCGTTTGTATCCTTGCCCAATTTGCACAATCTGGCGTCAGGCATTTATTGAAGCTACTGGGCATGGTTAAAACTCAAGACAGCGTAAGCACAATTATTCCAGATATTACAGGTTCCGACAAGTAAAGAATTTTTATAGTCCTGCCACAAATAAGCTATATATTGATTATTGACCATTTGTGACATGCTATAACGAGCAAAAATTTAAAAAAAACTAATAGGTAGGTTTAAAATTAATAAATACAAATGTATTCTGACAGTGAATGAGATAATTATGCTTTCTATTTGCAAAATTTCTTAACCTTAACACAAAATAAGAAAAAAGTGAATTTTTAAGAAATTTGCGGGATTTCCCGGGTTAAAAAAACAACCGGGATCCCGTTTGAGAAACACTAATTCTGTGTCACAGATGGTGTGGGGGTTGCATTTCTTACAATGGAGTTGGTCGCCTGGAGTTTCTTAAAGGTTCTGTCAACAGTTAAGTTTATAAGGGCATGCTTGAAAAAAGTTGTTGCCAACAATGAAACCAATACGAGGAATGCATAACTGCATTTTTAAACATGATGTATTCCATATCATTTATCCACGTTGTCGGGCTGGCCGAACGAACGATCAGTATGGAAAAAGATCCGTTTAGTGTCCACTGAATGGAAAAAGCCAAAATTGAAAAAAAACCTATAAAATTAATTAAAAGTTTCGGAAACATTATCCATTAAAAATTAAAATAAATTTTTTTAAATATTTAAAATTAAGAAAAACTCCGGTAATTTACTCAAATTTTTAATTATTGACGAAAGTTCATTGAAAAAAAAAAAAAAATGTTTCGAAGAGTGTCGCTAGTATCTTATTTACTTTCTTTCAATGTACGTCGTCATAGAAACGTGAGAGAAATGATGGGATGCTGAGTTTACTAAATATGTTAGATTTTACTTTATGATTCAATTATTATTTTAAAAGTAAGTAAAATATATTCTCTTTATTTCATGTTAAGTTGAAATTATTTAATTTTTAATATTTTTTAACGTAGTTATTATTAAAACAGGTATTTAAATCAATTACTTTATATTATTGGAAAGTTTTGGGGGAAAATATTTTCCTCCAAAACAGATTACAGAGTTAAACATTTAGAAAGCACACAACACACTTGATACTTGCACAATACATTGGACATAACGTACGGTACAGTGTATTGTGTGCGGGTAAAATCAACTGCATGAGATTTGGCCTTGAAATTATTCAAAAGCTATAGTTGGATGAATCGAATGAAAAACTGAATGATCGGCCAAAAGAATTTTAATATATGTAAAGGTAAATTTTTAATTTAAAGATTTAGATGAAATTTATCGATACAGAAATGCCCCATGCACTAATTATATATAATTATCTTTTTTTTTTCAGTAAATGTATGGCAGCCAAATATATTAGTTATCATTTTTATTTTTTGTTTATTCTTATTTTTATTGATATTTATGTAATGAAAATTATAACTATTTATACCAGAGCCAGTGAGAACTTATATGAGACCAGGGTGTTGAGTGGTCCCTCTTTTGCACCTTAGCTAACACCTTTTGCTATTTGCTTTTTTTTTTTTTTTTTTAAACAAATAAATAATTGGAAAGTTTCTTTATTAATAAAATTCAGTCTTAAAGATTTTATTTGCAGTTATTAAAAATATTGTTAATTTATAGGTGTAGGAACAGCTACGGTCTTGTGTTTTCTGCAATTGGGGAAAATCCCAGTTTTCGTTCTAAATGGCCCCATTTATGATACGCTGACTTCATAGATGACATATATATACAGTATATATATACACTTTTTTTAATATTTAATATAATTTCAGAAGAAAATATATATGATGACTAAATTAAATTGATAAACATTTTCGATAAAGACAGTTTAAGGATTTTACCTTAAAAGTTCATTATAGTAGAACACTGAGGAAAACTGTAAGTGAATACACTGCTTCTTTTCTTATACTGTAATTCATAAAAGAAAGTTTAAATACATTGATTCCCATGTTCATGAATAATTGGGACCAAGTAATCCATGAACATCAAATTCTCAAACTTCCATTATTCCTAATAAACCAAATGATTGCCATATTAACGTAACAATAAATACATATATATATAAATACAGAATATGCTCTTTTATTACTGTATAAACTAAAATTTTACGATTTATTCATATCAAGTGGCTCCTTTTTACCTATAGCTATTAGTTTATACATTTTATTGTTTTACAAAGTTTATTTTAGAATAATATAATGTGTGTTTATTTATGTCATTAGCATTTATGCTGCATAATGGTTTTGGATTGTTTTTTGGTTTAGTCTTTGCCATGGCTTTAAATAAAACCACAAATACCAAAATAAAAGGAACTCCTAATTGTTGTGATGCTTTTGAAGTAATTTTCAGGACAGATAATCAACTAATATATTAACTTCAACATGTTTCTGATCTTGCTGATGTTTTTCCTGAATGATTGTCTTTACAGATTTAACAAGAATCATCAATCATATTTTAAATAACTGATACAGTACAACTAAATGTAAAATGTAAAAAGAACAACAACCTTTACTTTATCCAGCAGTAAGATTATAACAAATTGTTTTTGAGTTACTTAATGACTTATCTTTTACTTAACTGCACAACACACTGGGATGAATATAAAAAATGTGACTCGTGAACCAATTAACCAATGTGAATATGATTAACATTTGAGTGACAAACATTTTCGTAACTTCTTCTAGGTTCTTCTTCAGGCTTCTTTTTAATTCAAAACAGGCTGGCAGTTACCACTTGATTTGGTAATTGAATGGTAACTTCCAGCCTGTTTTGAATTAACACTTATTTTTAAATTCAATGGAATGTCTGTACACAAGGTCTATTTCATGTGTTTGAACCTGAAGATGATGCATTAAGTGACTCAAACCTTTGTTTATTAAAATTTTATTTTGGATAAAGTAAAGGTTGTTGTTGACCTTCTTCTTCTTCTTCTCCTTTTTCATATTACGTGTAATCAAAGAAAATATGATTTTATAAGTATGATAGAATTTTAGCTGACTCTGTAGATATGCAGATATTGTAATAAATCATATGGCTTTGTAGCAACACTTTACAGATGACCTAGCTCTTCATCAATAGGATAATTTTCCATGTCATGTTGCCTGTATATTGATAGTGTTTGGTATTGTCACAACACAAGCCTATGATATGGAACATCAGAATACAAACAATCCAAAAGGCAAAATTTAGCTTAGAATCTTTAATTCAGTTCAGAATCTTTTAGATTAATTTAGACTGTTAAATGCATGAGAGGAGAAACCTCTTAAAAGATAAAGTTCAATTAGCTGTTATTTTAAGGAGTGAACAGTAGATAATTTTAGAAAATGCATCAAAAACTAATATTCTGTAGAGATTAGAAGATAAAGTATTAATAGAAGCTAAAGATTTCATGACTTTCTACTTGTTTTCTAGAAAATAAAGGTTATTTGTAGTTCAGTAAATGCATTATCCTGTCATTAACTAGATATTATTGGTAAGATAGTGTGTTTTTTACATTACATTTGAATTCATTTAATGAAGTTTTATAAAGTATATCAATAAGAATCATAAAAATTTGATCTGAAATCAGTTTTGTAATTCAGTTGAAGATTATTATGGATTAAAGAGTCATAAAATTATTTAAAATCTGGTTTTGAATTAGTTCTAAAATAAGAACCAATGTGTAGCATTGTACTTTCTTGACCTTTTCAAAAGTTTAAATATGTTAAATATTTTTCAATTATTTATTTGTTTTTGGAAAAATAAAATTCTAAACATTTCAAAAATATGAGTTTACATTAAGATTTAATTCCTTGAAATTAGGACTGATTATTTTTTCTTAAATTTTCACTTATTAAAATATAAAAAATAAAACTAAAATAGCACAATAGATATCTTTGTCTATGAAAGATTTCTGTAGACAAAGATATCTAAGAGTTGTTTTTTATATAAAAATCTTTTATGAAGCAAATTACAATATCATCAAGAATATCAAGAATTGTTTACAGCTTTAAAATTTTTGTTTTAACAGACTTTCAGTAATTCCATGTCTTTAGTTAATGCAGGGATAGGGAGTTGGTGGGAAAATGCATGACTCCCGAGTCATTATTTTTTAAAATTGACTCATACTCTCATAAAAAGATTGACTCCTTGACTCCCAACTCAGACTCCAACTCTCCATTCCAGGAATGGGGAGTCAGTGGAAAAATACACTACTCCTGACTCCCATAAAAAGATTTGACTCCCTGACTCCCAACTCATACTTTAACTCTCCATCCTTAAGTTAATGTGAATCAGTTATATTGATAGTTTTTAAAATTATTTTACTTATTTGATAATTGTTAAAAAAAAATTTTCGAATTCTACAAAATACTCAAAAACTTTAATAATCAAACATTGAAAATGGATTGATTAAAACACTCCAAAAATGATATAATAAATATCAAATAATTGAAATGGTTTTTATATCAAATAATTGAAATTGTTTTTAAAATTGTCTAGAAATATTTGGTTCAAATTTTTATTTTCTTCAATCCTTTATTTCTCATTAGGTTTTTTTTTATTTATATAGAAATAAGGATTAAAATAGTGGTTATTCATATAAGCAAAGTACACCTATAAACAATTAATTAAAAAATATGTTTCTGACAAATGTTTGTTCTAAATGTTATCTTACATTGTTATTCTTCCAAAAACAGAAAAATCAAAGGCTAAAAAAACTTTAAAAATAAGTTAAATAATGCTTTATATTATCTTCATATTTTATAAATGAAATATAAATTTATCTAGTTACAAACTTTTTAATCAATATTAATTATTTACTGTTCTGTTCCCAAAAGTTATTTAGAACAAAAGAAGAAACAGTACGTTCAGATATTACATATTATTATAAAAATTATATATTATTGTGAAAAAATTTGAATAAGGAAGGAGTCAAATTTTAACTACAACAGTCTATTTATATCAGACTACAATAGAGCATCAATTATCTGAAATAATCAGAACAGGACAATTTTGGATAACCAATCGCACTTAGTAGGGAAATAATAAAAGGTAAATATTTAAATAAAGTAAAAATGTTCATTTTAATTCTAGTACAACAACAGTAAAACGGGGTTTGTGTATAGAAATTTAATACATACGAATAATGGGAAATAACTAAAAATTGCTTGTTAAAAATGAGCATTAGTCTTTAATTTCAATCTACAACATACAGTACTGGTGAAACTTTGAATTCAAAGTAAAAATACATTGATAGTTCAATTTCAGGCCTACAGAACAATCCAACAAATGCAGCGGAGCCAGAAGACCAGGGATTTACATGGTCCCACTAGAGAACAACAGATCTAATCTGAACAAAAAAATTAACATACATTGGCTCAACCAATAGATCACTTAAAAAGGGAATAGCTGAGCACAAATACGACACATGCAACAAAAAGTTGAATACCACCCTAGCCCAATTTGCAAGTGAACCAAATATAACAGCCAAATGGGAAGAGGCTAAGATTATTATACCTATGCTTGACAATAACAAACTTAGAACACTTGAAACCATTGAAATCTTTGTGAAATCCCTCAAGGAGAATTGTATCAACAGCAGAGATGCAGACTCGCTCTCCTCCACATGGAAATCACTCTTCGATAACCCCTTAAACTAAATAGGCCAATCCACCCTCATCAAGCCTGTCTCATTTTCTTACTTATTGCATTTATTTTTTTCAATTTTATTTTCCAATTTTAGCAATTATCCCATCAATAGTCATTCGCACACCTTAAATAATAATATCAAAAGAAAATTAACGATGTCAATATCGTCTAAACTTTGTTATCAACAATGATGTCACTAGTAAGAAGAAACCTATGTAAACAGTGATGCCGTTTGAATATCTGCTAACTGACGTTCCAACCAACCTCATTGTACCTGAAGAAGGCCATTCAAAACAGCCAAAAACGTTTGTACTTAGTGATTAAACTGCTAGAAACAAAGTATGAAAGGTTTTGTCTTAATCATTTTAAGTAGTTCTAGCTTCAAATGCATAGAAATCCAAGTTATTATATAAAAATTTTATAACTTCTGGAATTAGTATTGTCCAAAATCAATTTTGAATAATTGATTTTCAGATAATCAATGCTCTATTATATTCTAATTTAAATTAATATCAAATATTAGTTTGAATTTATTTTTAAATTTGAAAATTTATAAATATGCAATATTACTCCCTCCCCCTTTTTTAAACAAATATTTAAAAATTTTTATTTAAAAACTTTTTGACATTTTTAAATATTGTATTAATAAAATATATTTATATATAGGAATTAGAACAGTTTTTTAAAAATGTTTTAAAAAGTTACATAAAATAGAATTTATTTATTCATTTATTCATTGTATCACTATAATTAGTATAAAGCTTTTAAATTTCAGAAATCAAAATCTGCATATGTGAAAATGTTTGGTAAATATGGATCTGAAGAAGAATTAAATTATAAAACTAACAGCAAAGAAAATCTTGAAGGAAGTAATGCAGAGTAAGTAAAATTATATCTATTTACATATAACATATTTTGTCTAAATAAAATTAATATTTGTATATATTAATAATTCAGTCTAAAATCAGAATTAATTTTTTGAACATTAACTACTTTTAGACAGAAATGAAATGTGAAAAACCTAAAAGATAAAACTTCATTAAGGAATCAATAATATAAAAATAGTCTATATCTATACTTTATATTATTTGAGTTTAGTCTTGTTTTTATACAGAAGTCAAAATTATTACATTTTTTAAAATTGTATTAAAAAATATTAAAGATTGCATATTTTAATGCATAATAATAATAATAATAAATTCTTTATTTTCTATCTTTTACAAAAGATAATGTTTGAAAGAACAAAGAATTACCTCACCCAAAGACTGCATAAAACAACAGCCAATATAATAAACAACAAAGAAAGTAAAAACATCATTAAAAAATTAAATAAACAAATTAATTAATAATAATATTATTATTATTATTGTTTGGGTAACTATGCCTTGACTTTAGTCTGATATAGCATTTTGCACCAGCATCAGCTGAGCATGACATTTGCAACGTAATAATAATACAAGTACCTTGTATGTTCTACAGCATATATTGGGTTGTTCGGAAAGTACTGTAATTTCGTTTTTTTATTACTAGAGGAATTAGATGTATTTTTACCAGCCAATTTCATTTCAAACCAAATTTTCATTATATACTTTGATAGCTGACATTTAAAGGCTTATTTGTAAAAAATTTTGTTTGATTCTGTACAATTTTTTTTTTTTTTGGTGTCCCATCAAATATGGAAATTCGAAAGCATCATTTTTGGCAAATTTTGCTTTTTTATTACCAAAAAATCAAAATGCTGTTCAACCAAGAAAAAAATTGTGGTACATGAAGATGTGTTGAGAGAAAGACAGTGCCAAAACTGGTTTACAAAATTTCGTTCTGGCAATTTCAATATTGAAGATGCACCATGTTCTGGATGGCCAGTTGAAGCCAATGAAAACAAAATAAAGGTATTGATTGAAGCAAACTGCTGAATAACAACACGTGAAATCACTAAGAGATTAAATTTGTTGAATTGAACCGTTTATGTTTACTTGAAACAAATTGGTTTTGTTTCAAAGCTCGATATATGGGTTCCACATGTTCTTAAAGAGTTGCTCTCTTTGGTGGGATTTTAAGGAAATTTTTTTTTTTTGAGCTTTTACCAGACAATTTAACAATTGATTCGAAAGTGTACTGCCATCAAGTAAACAAATTGAATAATATCATCAAACAGAAAAGGCCAGAATTGATTAACAAAAAAGGTGTAGTGTTTTACCATGATAATGCCAAATTTCACACAAGTTTGGTAACTCATCAGAAACTGTTACAGCTTAGATGGGGATGTGCTATCACGCCAACCATATTTGCCAGATCATGCACCCTCAGATTATTACTTGTTCTGGTCTATACAAAATTTTTTTAACTGTAAGACATTTACTTGAAATGAAAATGTCAAAAATCATTTGGATCAGTTTTTTGTAAGCAAACATCAAAACTTTTATGAACATGGAATCATGCTACTACCAGAAACGATGACAACAGGTATTTCACCAAAATGGTCGATATATAATTCAATAAAATATTTATTTATTTATAAAAATATTGTTTTTTTTTTCCATGGAAAAAAACAAAATTACTTTCCGAACAACCCAATATTATTTCAATCACTTTAACCATTGACTGATTAAAGTGATTGAAAAAAAACTCATTAAAATAACTAAGGATATTTTTTGAAATTATATAAATTAGGAAATAAAGAAAAAATTTATCTTAGCAAAACAATATCTTCTGGTAGAAAAGCAACATACTCTTATTGGTTTTTCCTTTTTAATGCTAACTGTACACTTAAATATACCTGAAAAAAATAACTTATAAATTCCTCTCTGAACAAAAAAATACTGTTTACATGTTCAATTAAAACTGTCCCACATCTTATAATTTATAACGTTTCATTGTACTACTCTCCCCTACATATATTGTACTTACTTNCAAGCTCTGGTTACTTAATTTCAATATTAATAAAATAATTACTTTTATTGAGATTCTTTAAAAAAGAGTGCTGAATTTATAGTCTATTTTTGAAATTGTTTTTATTAGAATTATAAATTTTAATGCTCTGTTTTCAAAAAACAAATTTTTCAAAAGTTTAATCTGTTTTGGATTCCTGTAATTCCAAAATGAAAATGTAGCCATTTTTGCTTGATGATAATTGAATTTTTTTTATTGTCCAAGTTATAGAACCATCTATGGCAATCAACATAAAAATGTCAAAATTATTAGAACTGTTTAAAATATAATTGATTTTTAAGTTATATGGCAAATTATTCAATTTTTATGTTTCAAAAAAGCTTTGGAAGTATAGTTTGCTTATAATATTACAGTAATTAATATGGATTAAATTTTTAAGAGTTATATGTAAAATGTAATTCTTTTTAGAAAATTTAATTTACTTTTTAAACACTTTCATTTTATACCAATTTCATCACATAAAGAGAATTAATTTCATATTAAACATAAACTTTTCAGAAACTTATTCATAAAAATATGTATTATTTGATAAATGTTTTATATACTAAAGGGTTGTAATTAAATTATCTATAATTAATTTTAAAATCAGGTGAAGCTGTCTAAAATATGCTAGTGTAACATATCTTATTACTATCATAATGGCATCTGCTCATTGAACAGCATTGTCTAGGATTTGTAAAAACTGATATATTTTCAGCATACCATATAAAATATGCTACATTGAGTTTTAATTCTGAATTGCATAGCATTAAGGTAAGCTTTGAAAAAAAATGATTGGGATATACAGTAGAGCATTGTTTATCCAAAACGTCAGTTATCTGAAAGAATTCCAGTTGGCAAATTTAAATTTTCACTAATGCTGTGGCGCTGCAATCTTTGGCCATATCTTGGGCTACTCCAATATTTTTTTTGTTGATGTGTGTGTTTTAGCTGGCAGCACTGGCACTTTTGTGTGGTGTTTTTCTCAGGACTGTGTGTCGTGCTGAGTCGAATGTTTTTGATACTAGATTAACTTCTAAAATATAATTTTTTTATTGTTTTTATATTTTTCAATATATTTATTTTGTTTGTAAAAAATAAAGAAATAATTTTTAATGACACAATAGCCATGATGATTACTTTAAAAAGTTTACATTAGGCTTAACATCGACGAAAATTCAACACGGAGCGACATGCAACGGAGAAAAATTTCAACATGGGATAGGTTAATATATTTTTTCGTACATAATCGGTTATTCAAACAACCCCAGTCCCCAGTTGATTCGGATAAACGATGCTCTACTGTAGTGCCAAATGAAGTACTTTGGAAATAGATCGTGAACATAAGAGCCGCCGCAAACTAGCTCTTTGCGAGAGCAAAACGCTAGCAAACGTGCGCTAGCACAACCGATGACGTCAAAGGCTCCTCCCCTTTCTTCTTGCTCGCGTGGTTTTTCCTTTGCTAGCGCAGCGATGCGAGAGTACGCTCACTGTTCACAGAATTCAACAACTAGAGCATTTACGCTAGCAAGAGAGTGCGGGGAAGACGGATGATTACATAAACATGTCACATATCGAAAAAGAAATAATAGAATTTTATCGATGTACTGTACGTAAATTACATGATTAATACATTCAGTATTGAAAAGAAAATATTATAACCGTTGTATGTAAATAGTAATATACAGTATAGTTTTCGGCTAGTTAAGCCTAGTTAGGCTTAACTAGTAAACATGTTTTTTCCATGCTGTTTCAAAGTTCGGAACGAAAACTGACTGATTACAAGTATAGGTTATAATAAAATCTTGTTCTATAGCCAATCTACATCTGTGGAATCCACGTCGTGTGGAATACGTTACGTGAGCAAACGTTGTGTAGTTTGCGGCTGCTTCGTGCTCGCGTAGCTTACCTAGCAAAAATGGCTCATAGCATCATGGGAAAAAAGGCGGGGCTTAGGAGCGCGAGCGAGCGTACGCTCGCTCTCGCATCCTGTAGTTTGCGGCGGCTCTAAGTTGAGATGATGGCAGACTTTATTAGATTTTCTGAAGCATTTTGAGAGAGAGAGAGAGAGAGAGAGACATTTCCTTTTTTTCAAAACAGATGAATCCTGGATTCATCAATATAAATCAAAAACAAAAAATTGCTCTAAGCAATGGAGTTATAGTTCTCTGAAATTGAAAATGTTAAGATTCTATCATCCAAGAAAAATCACAATTGTTATCTTCTGACATATTTGAGTGTTATATTAATGGATTTTATATTACTTTGAATTAGTTAATTTTGATATCTGTATTGCAAATCTGTAAAGATTATAATCACAATTGAGGCATATGACTATAGCATGGTCATCAAAAACATGCATCAGCAGTCCCACTCAAGGCATAACCAGAGAAGTCATATGTAAAATGAAGTAGACTACAGTATTCATGCTACAGTTTAAATTTTAGCACCTGGCACCATTAAACTTTGCTTTTTGGTCATCAAAAAGATACAATTTGTGGGAAAAACTTTAATGATGATGATAGCTGTAAAAGAAATGAAGAAATAGCATCTCAATTAGTGATGAATGATTAATCAGAATTAGTATCAGGAATTGGAAGAACCAAGCATTTTTTCAGTAATCGGAATCAAGAGAAATTTTATTATGATTTGATTTTTAACCCTTTTTCTGCCACCATTGAAACAAAAAGTAGCACCAAATATACCAATTTGTTTTTTCATAAAATATGTCACTGTTATAAACATAATAAGAACAAAAAATTTTTTGTTTCAAGCAATCTTTATGAAACTATATGTGATGATGTGAAATTGGGTCATTGGCATATACCCAAGGATAAAAGTGATGTGATGAAAAACTAATATAATTAATTAAATATATCCTGGAAAAGTATGAAATTAAGCAATAAAATATCTCTAAAATGTTTCTCACACTTTCACATAGTAATAAATAACATCTGAAAAATAACATGAATACAATTTACCAAAAACTTCCTGCATCTAAATCAGTGATTTATAAACTTTATTGAGCCACTGCCCCCTTGATTTCATAAAGTTATATCAACATTTCCCAACTGTATCCCAACACCCCCTAATCTATTTTCTTTTGTTGAGAAAGTCTTGAAAATACTCTTAGAAAAACTTTTCTATGAAAGTCACACTTTATATCCTTGCTGTAAATTGTTCTCCACATTTGGAAACCATTAAATGCAATGTTTCTTCTTACCCATTTTAAAAAGAGGAAAAGGAAAGGTTGTCAGTGACCCCAACCCTCACCTATGGTCACTGTTCAGAACCCTGCCTCCAGCACCCCTTGCCACTCACTTGCTTCTTTACACCCTCCCTAGATTTACTCACTGCCTACAGGGGGCAGTAGCACCCACTTTGGAAACCACTGATGTAAATGAAACAGAATTGCATAATTGGCTTATTATAACAAAGGTCATGACACAAAAATGTGTCAATTGTCAGCAAAAGTATTAAAATGATTCTTTAATACTTAACTAATGAAATTAATTCTTCGTTTCAAGTAATAATTAAAATAGTTTAAATTATTATCATTAACAATCAAGTATTATTATATTCTAGACTTTCATTTTGTTTGCTAAAAGTAAATAGAGAGGTTGAGGCAGACGTTTTAAACGTGTAAATGTGTAGGTCGGACATTCGGCACCACTTTCCCATAAGCCTAAAAGTTTGACAATGGTGTTTGGATAGTCGGTGGAATCATGCTCGACATTCCAAACACCATCGTCAAACTTCTAGGCTTATGGGAAAGCGGCACCAAACGTCCGTCCTACACGTTTAAAACGTCTGCCTCAACCTCTCTAATAATAAAGATATTTCACATTATCAGTCAAGACAATATGCAAAATTATGCAAATGCATTCTGCGTGGCATGTAATATAAAAATCTGCAACTATGGAAAGAAATAACAGTAACACAAACTATCAGAAATAACAAGTAACCAGTGTTGCCAGGTTTGGCATTCTTAAAGGTTTTTTGGCACATGGAAAAAATTTTGGAATGCCAAACCTTATTTGGGATTATATTTTACATAAATCAAACTCTCCATTAATGTGTTAGCAATTATAGCAATTAGAAATAAATTACAGTTCTGTCTGCTATCAAAATTTTACTATTGAAATACTTTTACTAAGCTTATTTAATGTCTCCATGTATATTTTGATGCTCTATATAGATTAGAAACTTAATCCACTGGTTGATTATGCCAAACAAGAAATTGATGACATAACTTTATTAAAACTCAACAGCAATTATGTTTTTACAATAATTCTGTTAAATATACTGTTAAGTGTCATTTATTTCTAAAGTTTTCAATTTTAAAGTATTCAATTTATAACATATCAGAGTAAAAAATGGCAACAGAATAAATTTGCATCATTTGACACATTTAAATGAAAATGACCTGGCAACCTGCAAATATCTGTGTGGCTAGTGCTATTGTGTTACCAGCTCCAAAACTATATCCAACTGTAATTTTGATAAGAATTGTAATCAAGACTTTTAGGAGAATCAGCATTAGTATCAGAATCATTATAAAGTTTAATATTATCCCATCACTATCACAATACAGAAGACTTGTATAGCATACAATGACTAAGTTCCCAGTTAATTTGCCATGTTTCCCTTCAGTTCTCTTAAGTCTTTGAACTGAAAAAAAGAACATGTGGTAAATTAATGATATTTATTCTATAAATGAAAATATTTTTCGATAAAAGTTAATTTCCCTGGATTAAAATTAAGTCAAGAAAAATATATTGTTGCAAAACTTCATAGATGTTTGAAAATATCATTCAGTTGTAAACAGTTCTGTTGAATGATTAAAGATATCAGAAATTATACGTACTTTACATGTATATTTATTTCATATGTTAAAGTTTAAATTTTTTTGTAAACAATTTAGCCTCTAAGGGTAAAGTAAATTTGAATTCTTATTAAGGAGTTTTTTTTTGTTTTTTGATTTAGAACATCAACTGTTCAAAAGAAAATTTATTTTATGAAACAGTAATGAAATATTTGAAAAGTGTGAAAAATATTTATGAATAGATTTTTAAATCTTGAAATTTTTTTAGTGTTTTATTAAATTTTTCTCTGTAATACTATAGCCATGAGTTAAAAATGTAACGCTTTCTTAATTTATGTAAATTTTAAAAAAAATTAATATTTTAATTAAATATTTTTTTTATAGTAATCAAGCTCCTTCAAATAAAGAAAATANAATTTGAATCTATTAGTTTTTAATATTTTTTTTTTTTAATCAAGCTCCTTCAAATAAAGAAAATACTATTCAACAACAGCAAAGCATCCGACCTTCAAAACCACCAAGACGTAAATATTCTCTCCAGACTACATCACAAAAAGGTAAAATTTTATATTAAGTACCATAATTTTCTGCATGTAATCTGCAGGAGCAGCTTTATATTGACTAAAAAGTTTATGCAAACTTACGCAAATCATATGATAATCATTTATTTGGCGCATGAACAATGAAATGTATGAAATTTGTAAGAATGTTTAATTATTGAAAAAGTATTTTCAAATTAAAAAAAATTATATCATACAAACAGTCAGTCACAGTTGCTAATGGAACTGTATAACAATTAAATGTTATGATTACACAATTGCCTTATACTTAAGCTACTATATTTTACACACCACATAGACAAGAGAATATAACAAAAACATCTAATATGATTTACTTGAAGCTTGTTTTTTAATCATTGTTTCTTAAATCATATAATTTGATAAAACAAGGAATGTATCTTACAGAGATAGACAAATCAAGTTCTTCAAATAGTCATTATGCAGAATGCATTTCAGTTGCAGACTATTCTGTAAGATGACACTAGTTCTAAGCAAAGTCAAAATTCGAATTTTCCTTTTGACTTGATTTAAGAAACCCAACATCTAACATTTTCAATTTAGTCTATAGATCATCTTCAGGTTTCAAAATTTTGGAATGGAATCATTTGAAAGTTTCAAAAATTAAGAATAAACATTTTCAAAGCAGTCAGTTTTTAATCAACATAGATATGAATTAAGAAACCTAATATACAAACACACAATGCAAACTAACAAAAATAAACTCCACACAAAAATAAAACTAAGATGAAATAGAACTGGCAGATATTTAAGTTGACCTTTTAGTCCATGCCCCATAGCAAGAATTTCTACATCTTTTGCATTCATTCTTAATTTTTGCCTGAATATTTTTGGTTGTCACTGCCTACTTGGGTAATCAGATATTTCTATCATTCTGGCTTGATTTTTTGTGATTTTTGCATCCTCTGCATTTTAACATTTTAGAAAACATTATTTTTTTAATCAATATTTATCTACCAGCTTTAATTTTAATATATTATTTATAAATGTAGAAATTTTAGTATTTAATTATTGATATTTGTAAATAACCTTGTGTAAACTTTTTCTTTTCCAGAAACTGAATGTACTACTGAATTAGAATCAAACTTAAATATCAGTAATTCTTTATCACCAAAGATTATTAATTCTGATACAGAACAAATGTATGTTATCAATTCTCAACATGAAGATATTAATGACACTGCAGAAAATGAGAATATATTTAACTCTGAATCAAATTATTTTGATAGTAATTCTGCAGAATATTTTTCTGTTCCTAAGCATACAATTTCAGATCAGAATCTTTCCTGGGACAGGCAATATTCTAGTTTGCAGGAAGTACTTATAAATGGATCCTTATCAAAATCTAATTTAGAATCTAAATCAATGGGAAGTACCCCACTACATTCCTTGTTTCATACAAATTCATTTACATCATCTTGCCACAATGTTTTTTCTCCAGAAACATTGTATTTTACTTCAGCTCCATATCATTCTTCTTCAGGTGTTCATTCACTGCCACCATTTATACAATCTTATTCTCCAAGAGAATCAAGCTTTGAAAGACTGAACAGAAAGGAAGAAAAATATTTCTCAAAGGAAACTTTTTATGACAAATTACGAAATGATAATTTTTTGAATTCTATAGTAGCAGCTACTAATAACTTAAAACTTCCATGCCATCGTCGTCATCATAGTGATCCAGTTTTATCATGGGATAATAAATTGACAAAGAAATCAATGGTTAGAACTGCTTCTCAGCGAAGTCATTCCTTTATAGGTCCATCACCAAATAAAGCATTTAATAAATTATCAATGGAAAATTTAAAAAATCAGCATTATTTAGGTGGAATTAAAGATCCAATTCTTTTAAGTGCTGAAGTTAAGGCTCTTCGAGAAATCAATGAAAAGGTAATAAAATTTTCAATTTACAATATTATTTTATAAAATATTTGGAATATAGTATTTTGTTAAAGTAAACTGAATTATTAATAGATTTGCATAGATTTAAATCTATTTATCAACCACATTAAACTATCACTTAATTCTTGGAAAACATTAAAAGATTTTGTCTGGATCACACTCATCTTTAAGACTGTGTAATTGTTGATTAAAAGAAAAAAATGATATATCTAAGTGTTTAACATAAATATGATATAAGTCAAAATATTCTATTTTTTCTAATTTTCATAGTAATAATTAAAAATCATTTTAACATGAACTATATTTCTTTTAAATCCATAAAATGAAAAAAGTAACTAAAGTTATTTAAACTGTTTTCTATATTAAAATTAAAATGACAGTTTAAAAAATTTATTATTATTAATCTAGTAATATATAAAATTACAATAATAAATACAGTGGAACCTCACTTAACAAGCATAATTCATTCCAGAATTGTACTCGTAATGCGAAACACTTGTTAAGTGAAACAATTTTTCCCATAAAAATTAATGTAAAATACAATAATGCATTCCACACCAAAAAAATACTCAAATATTTTGTATAACATTTATTCAAAGAAAATTGTACAATGTGCATTGTTAAGAAGAGTGAATCATCATCATCTTTTCTTCTAGCAGAATTCGATTTGCAGAAAACAAAAAAATCACAGATAATATGTTTGATAAACACTCCAAACGATATGCCAAATTCTTGGGCTATGTAAAGGTTATAATTAAATAATAGAAATGAATTAATTTGACTAGAGGTAGGCAGTTATGCTTCTATCTCGTATCAAATTTAATAATTATAAATAATTTTTAATTTAGACATTTCTAAAGTTTAATTTGGAATTGGTCATTAAATTTAATATGAGATGGCAGCATAACTGCCTACCTCTAGTCAAATTAATTAATTTCTAATATTTAATTNTGAATCATCATCATCTTTTCTTCTAGCAGAATTCGATTTGCAGAAAACAAAAAAATCACAGATAATATGTTTGATAAACACTCCAAACGATATGCCAAATTCTTGGGCTATGTAAAGGTTATAATTAAATAATAGAAATGAATTAATTTGACTAGAGGTAGGCAGTTATGCTTCTATCTCATATTAAATTTAATAATTATAAATAGTTAATTTTTAATTCAGACATTTCTAAAATTTAATTTGGAATTGGTCATTAAATTTAATATGAGATGGCAGCATAACTGCCTACCTCTAGTCAAATTAATTCATTTCTAATATTTAATTATAGCCTTGCCTTTACATGGGTTATGTAAAGGTTATAAAGAATTTGGCATATTGTTTTGCGTGTTTATTATATAATGGGCTATGGTTGTTGATGTTTAAAAGTAATGTGTGTGAACACAAGTTTGGAAAAATACGTGATCACAAGTGACACTAAGATGCTAGCAGTACGAGTGCTAAACACAGACTGACAGAGCATGTGCACAGTTCGAGACTTTCTCTCTCCTCATCACTCATTATGTGAAACATCACTCGTTAAGCAAGGCAATTTTTTATAAATTGTTTTGCTCGTTATGCAAGGTTCTCATTAAGCGAGGTTCCACTGTATTTTAATTCTCAGCCAAATAGAAGAGTGGAGTAAAGTGGACATTATAGCTTGCATTGATTTTTATAAGAATCAAATGCTTTATAAATTTCTTTTATATTTGATTACAGTTCAAAAAACAATTAGTTTGATTCATTTCTGGCAAAAAAAAATCATTTTTAGTTTTTCATTTTAAAGCTTCAATGCAAATCATATGATTATTGTAATTTGAATCTATTAGTTTTTAATATTTTTTTTTTTTTCATTAACTTAAGACAAAAATTAGACATTTTTAAGATAAGTTTAATATGAATTTGAAGTTCTCATATTTTTATATTAATATAAATTTCAAAAACACAAGTCTTTTAATGAACTATAAATTTTGTGCTATAGTTTATAAAAACATGACTCAGTTTATTTGTTCTTTTCATATTATTAACCATCTATAAAAACAAAGTTACAGATTTAACTATGATTACTTTATATCTTTTGTTTATTTAATTTTTTTCAATAACACAATTCAGTTAAAATTCAATATTGTAAATAGAATAAGATGTTTATGTATAAATAATTCAAATATATTATAAACTTTTATATCAATATATTTCAACAGTAAAATCTTTTTATGACATTTCAAAGTACTGGTTTCAGTTCTTGTTTCTGTAGAAAACTCACAGTAATATTTTATTCATCTGAGAGAAATATTAACTGATTACTAATTTTAAAATTAAGTACTAGAAAATTGGATTAGAATTGTTAGAGTTTGACTCTCATTAACTCAACATTCTGTAAAACTTCATGTTAAAAAAATACTTGTAATATAATTTTTAGCTGTATAACTTAATACTAGGATCAAATAAGTTATTTGTTATTTACTGACAATACTTAATAATAGCGTCAATTCCACACATTAACAAAGAATATGTCTTTTTTCAAGATGCTGCTGCAAAACCCACAGCACGAATGTCACTAACTTGAAAGAGCAGGGGCAAATTCTCTGGGCTTGCTTAGCATGCACCGCATGCTTAAGAGAGAGTTTTGACTGTCAATATAGTTTTTATATGAGAACAAATATGCCAATAATAATTTATTCTAACGTATAAATTCTTTTATCATTTGTGTTTGCTTTTACATTGACAGCTAGCAGTTAGCCATTTTAAGTCAGTGCCATGCTTGTGGGAACTTGATCGTTTGCTTGTGTGGAAGTTTGCCACAGCAAACAAGCACATGTGCATGATGTCATTTGAAGCATTTAACACAGCCAAATCATATTGAAAGCTTGCAGTACCCAGTCAGCATATATATATTGTATATAGGGACAGATCTATATAGAAATTAATAGGGTTTAAGCCCTGGGCTCCCAGAGTCAAGGGCCTAAAATTTGAATTATCATCATAAATTTTTAATATTTTTCATTATAATATATTTCATGTATAGATATAATGGGCTTTATAATAGTCCATACTTTTTTATTCATACCGAATAACGTTTCTGCCTATTGTTTAGCACTAATGATAATAACTTTCAGCATGCTCAAAAATTTTGGTCAGGATTTGTCCCTGCCTGAAAGTAACCACTGAATAGCCAATATTTTTCAAATTAAAATTTAACCATAAATAGAAATAGTCACTATTGGTACATAGTTAATACATATATGCATTTGTATATATAATATCTTTATGAAAATTTCACTATTTAGACTAGTATCATCGCTAGCCATAAAACTCGTCATTTTTGGTAACTCTTCACTATCTCAGTTCACATTAAGTTGAATTTACAGGACTCTACTGTAATTCAATTAATATCTAGAATATAATTTATTATATGAAATTAATTTTATTATTTTTCAATTCTATTATAGTTATGGCAACATCTTCATTCAGTCCAGTCTCAGCTTGATATACTTCAAAAATTTAAACATGTATCTAAAAGTGACATGTCAAGGCCTACACAATTTGCAGGTATAATTTTAATATACAGGGTGTCCACCATAAACCTGACACATTTGAAACTGTTGTAAAAAATTTACAGCTCAGGAAGGATGTAAAGTAATGCACATTTTATGATGAAAAACTCAAAAAGTTTTATTAAAAAAATCAGTGAAACTCTACATGAGCTCCTTTTGTCGCATGTAGAACATCGAGTCTATACTCCATTTCCTGCCAGGTTCTTTCAAGCATCTCAGGCGTGACAGCAGCCACAGCATCGTGAATGAGCACATGTACATATTGAAGGTCACGAATTTTGAAACCAGTGTAAACCTTGTCCTTGGCAAATCCCCAAACAAAAAAGTCTAAGGGCGTAATATCCAGCAATTGAGGAGGCCATGGTATCGGTCCTCCACACCCAATCCAACAATTGGGAAACTGTGTGTCGAGGAAACATCGAACATGCAGGCTCCAATGTGGAGGGGCACCATCCTGCTGGAATCACAGAATTTGTTTCAGTGTACCACCACACAACTTGCACTCACTGTTGTGGAGAAGCCATTTTGTATTTGACTACTGCCACACTACCTACAGTCATTTTGGCGGGTTTTCAAAATTACCTATACAACTTCCACAGTTTTTCCCTCTAATGGAATGCATGACATCTGATTACTGCCTTGCACTTTGATATGGCAGTCAAAACAAATGTCAGGTTCATGGTAGACACCCTGTATAAAAATTGCTCTTTTTCATATCAATTAAAATTTTAATAACATTCAATAGCTTCTAAATGAGTTGTTTTAGCTGTAGTTAAATTTTATCTGTTGTATTATGAATATTTTTAAAAAACAAATGTTGAGGACAAACACAACCAAAAATTTTGCCCTATTTATTTCATGTTCTTTTCTATGCCATAGGAAGATTAAAATATCACTGTGTTAGTCTTTTATTGTAGGTTTTTATATTATAGAAGACAAAATAAAAAATTTATTTGTGGGGAATGCTGACAAGAAGTTTTAGATAACATTCCTTAACATTATAAATTTTTGAGATTTAAGTTTTCCTTGCAGGTATTGTAATGATAGAGCATTTTCAAGCACAGATAAATTGTGGCATCACTAAATCTATTCCTCTCAAATAAACTTTTCATTTTATTACTATATAAAATTGCTAAAAATCTCTGCTTACATTCTTAAAAACTATAACTTTATTCATATAATACTGTTGAAGAATAAAATAAAATTTTTAATATTTAAAAATTATCTATTTTATGTTTTGTATAAATCGTAGACATTAAAAATTCTAAAAATTTTTTCTATTTGAAAAAAAAAAAAAAAGAAAAAAAAAAGATTTTTACTCAAACCAATTTTAATTTTTATAGTTAGTTGGATTTTGACAAACTTAAAATAAGTGAAGGGTTCATTCAAATAGTTTATTTGCCCATTTTGGTATATTAGACATAAAAAACTGATACACAAACTGGAAATATATACTAAAACAACCACTTCACACCTAAGTGTTAATTCCAGCAAACAAACAATAAAAAAGGGTTTAATGTTCAAACATTTTCGGCCGTCTTTCAGAGGCCGTCGTCAGGAAAAATTGCATAGAACAGAAAAAATAGAAAAAACAGCTTTATCTTTTTAACAGTTTTTGAATATAGCTGTGTTCTAATTTTTAACATTTAAATTTTAACATTGTTTTAACCTTTATTATTATTATTTTAACATGTTAAAATAAAGGAAAAAATTGTTCAAAAAGCTACAAAAATCCCTAAGATTAAAGTTTCTTGTCAAAAAATTATTTTTGCTTCCATTGGGAAACATTACATTACATTACACAGTTTACTAATTTTATTATGTGCTGTAAAAGCAATGCCTAATTGAGTAATGTAGATTGTGTCTTTATTGATGGCAATTGAAACAATTTCAGATTTTAAACTATTTATTTATAATAAAAACATTTCGACTATTTAATAATTTTAAAATTATATATTTAAATACAATTACAAATAACTTATTAATTTAAATATGACATTATTAATAATAGAATTTTAAAAATAGTTTAAGAACTTTCACATTTTATATGCCAAAAAAGGAAAAGTAATACTTTACTTTTATATGTCAGAAATTACAAGAATTTAGCTTAAAAAAAAGGAATTTTACAGATTTGAATAATTCATTGAAGGAATTTTATAGATTTGAATAATTCATTTAATTTTTGAAATCACTCAAATACTAATTATTTGATTGAGGAAAGCCATTACTATCTGACTGGATGGCCAAGACAGTAAAGGCATCAACCTACCATTCTGGAGGCCTGGAATCAAATCTGTGCAGGGAACCTAGGAATTTTTCAGGGGTTAGACTGTCCCAGATATGTCAGATCCTGTCCCTTGCCACTTGGCTGTCCTATTGCATGTCTGAAAAAAAGGCCCTCTTAGTTCTCACAAGGCAAAAACAGACAAAAAAAGCATCACTACTAAAGATATTATTTTGAAATGAACATCACAGATTCAAACTTTTCAGTAAAAAATTTAAGGTCCAAATTGAAATTAGAATAAAGTCATATTCTAATTAAAACATTAATAAATATTAACTTGTATGCTTCATTTTTATTCATTTTATTTCATTTAACAATTTATTGTATTTACGGCATAATTTTTTTAAGATTAATGTTTAAAACTAAAATTGGATGGAAATTGTATTTTAACTTTAAAAATTATAATGCATAATTATTTATAGATTTATTAGCGGAAATATATTATGCACAAAAAGAAAGGGACCAAGCTATGCAGGCAAGACTTCGATTAATGATGCAAGAAAGAGATACTGCTGTTAATCAGTTACAACAATTACTGAAATGTTTGGGAAGGTAAGACAAATAAATTTCATTAAATATGAAACAAAAATAATAATTTATAAAATATCAAACTATCATAATTTTGTGTGGCTATACCACAAAAAATTGCTAGAATGGAAATAAAACTTTACATAACCTACACTAATGTATACCCTGCATTTCTGAAGTTACTTTTGAAAACTTGATATAATTTCAATACTCTGTTTCCCTCCCATTTTTTAAATTGCATTTCTGTTAGTTCATTGTAGATGTAATTACCATATTTATTTTCCTTGTAAGAGAGATTTATATTGGATGCATAATATTTTCAGGCTGCAGTTTTGATTTCCAATGTCATCATCTGTCTGTCCTTTTTTAATCTTGAGAACATAGTTAGATAGATTAAAATTGAGACCGGATATGGAAATTTTAGGGACTGGCAGTCCCAATTAATTATATACAAATTTCCAGTCTGGACCAGAAGTCACATAGTTTCAAGCAAAATTTTTTTGAGAAAATGATTAGATAGATGACCAACATGGCTTGGTTGTTATTGGGGGAAGTATGATGTACAGGAACAGGACATCACTAAAATCCAGGCCAGGTATGGAAGGCTTAGGGCAGGAATGGCAAACCTTTTTGATCCTGCATGTCATATAGTATGCATACTTAGCTTTAAAGATGTTTATATATATATACCAAAGTTTTAGACTTTGAATAATGATATTTAAAGAAATTAAACAAATAACTTACACTTTAATTAGAATAGATGTAAAAAAAAGCTGATTGAAAAAAAGGATAATTAAGTGATAAACCAAAAAGATGATTGAAAAAGACAGATGATAAATTGAAATCATAAGGTATATTATGTGTCAGCTGATTTCTTCTTATCTGTCACTTTGGGCATGTGTGCCACAGGTTTGCCACTCCTGGTGTAGGGGTTTGAGACCTTGTTTAACCCTTTTAAAGTTTTGTTGCTTTACTGTTTATTGTTCAAAACAGTCACTGCAAACTTTACTCACTCAAGGTCATTCCACTTATATTATTTAAAATTTTGCAAAAAATCCAGCTATAATCATACACATACAAAAAAATTCACTTATATACATTACTTCTTGTTGTTGTTTACAGTAGTAAAGTTTTTTTTTGCTAGTGTAAAAAATTTCTTCCCAAAAAAAAAAAACAATAATGTTAGAAATGACAGTTTGGATGTTATTTATAATTTACAACAATTCGATCATAGATAAAATTTTTTGATTATATAATTCATTTTTGTGGGTGAGCCTGTGTGAACAACCATTTTGTTCTGTACATTTTGATCAAAACAAACTCAAACATTTTTTTGATACAAAGAAATTTCCTGCTTCGAAAAATTATATATACTTAAAAATAAATTGCCATCTGGTAATTGCTAATGTATATTATTCTGCACAGTGTACAGAATAATATACATTAGTGTAGTGCCATCTATGAATGAAATGTTTTATAAAAATCGTACATTTTTAGATTGATGTTGAATTGTCAAGTGATTGTTGTCTTAATTACCTGCTTGACGATATATTGACAAATGATTGCATAAGAGTTAACTATATACAGGTTCTACATGTGAGGACCTGAAACGGGGGTCGATTGAGAGGTCCGAATTATGGGTGTCGATTTAAAATAAAGAGCTCCTTTTCAGACGCTAAGGAAACGGATTAGGTGTCTCGAATGAACAATGCAATTGTTTTTTCGTAAATTTGTTAAACAATGGAAACGGATAAATTCGAGGAAAATGCGACGAGAGAGAGGAATCATATTCAGTTGCAATGTTGACCTCTCCCGCGCCCTTCATTAGGTTTCGAATTGTCACCAGGTGACTATGAGAGACCAATGGAGAGGCGACGACGGTTAAGAAATCTATAAAACCGTGCAACTCAAGGGACAAAGGTTCTTGGTTTTTGGTGCTCCTCTCTGGGATTTTTGTGATCCTACTTATCAACAGCGACCGATTCGTCAACTCCTGTGACTTACTGTCGCTCTCCCGTGACGTTTTGATTTGCACGGATTTGCCTTTCACCAGAGACTTTCGCCGAAGCTGTGCCGCATGCTCCGGGGCCGTCGATCTCAACGTACGACATCGAAGGACCAAACGGAGAAAGTCGGACCCTTGAAGGAACTTTTAATTTGCTCCCCGAGCTGTGTTACGTTGAAAATTTGAAGAACGTTTTAAGAATATTTTGTAATATAATAAACGGGTTAAAAATGGTAAACCTGTCTCAGAAAGTCATTCTGCGCCCACACGACAGAACAAACCGCTCGGCTGTCGAAAAACCCTCACCCTAATCGGCTGACCTCACATACAGATGTGGAAAGTTAGGGAATAAGAGTTTTAACAGGAAAAGTCAGGGAATGTCATCAAATGTCAGAGAATCTGCAAATACCTCAGAATCTGTCTATTGCTCCTTTTTTGATCTATATGTCTTTAAATTCAGTTTTAATTAGGGGTCTACAAAAACTGGAGTGACCAAAAGAGTGGAAAGATTTGTTGCACTATATCATGTAAACTATAAATGATAATCTAATGATTAAAATTTTGTTGGATAGAGGGTTTATGTTCTTATTTAAAATTGAAGGTAGTGAGAGTGTGCAGCTGTGGGGGTTTACAGTTCTACATGAACACCGCTACATGACATTTGAGAAGTGTATAACTTTGGATTGTGAAGAGGTAGGGCATTGAAATTGGTGTTGATTTGAACAGAATAACAACATCCACAATATTATTTAGAAATAATAACCAATAAAATAGAATTTGTAAAGTTATAAGCCAATAAGTGTATGAGTTGAAGAAAATTTTCATAATGTCAAAGAAATTGCAAAGGAAATATGAACAGAAACATTTAAAAGGAAGCAGAAAAATCCAAAATGACTAATGCCAAATGATGCATATTGTGTAGTGAGTGTAAGAAAAGTAAGTGTGTCAACTCTGACAATACTTCAAGTATGCTGCCACCTGAACCGATAGATATTGACTTTGAATATGATAACCACCAAGACTTTGTCTACATTTTATTCTTCCTTTTATAACAGAAAGATGGATTCAGACCTTAAACAATTGCGATTGTGTCCCGTACACATAGTTGATACCATGGGGGGAAAAGAATTGTCAGTCGGCTTAATGTTATTGTGTAAAGGACATTTTGGACTTCATGGCGGACCTCATGCAATTCATATATTTTTATTCATTATATTCTTTGCTACTGGCCACATACAGTATGTGGAGATAGACCATCAGAATTGGCAGGATTATTGTGTTATGTCTTTTCTCTAACTGGAAATTTTCATCTTCAGATACTCTGTGGAATTTCAGATGCCAAAATATCATTAGAATTAAAGTCAGGTTTTCAAAACTCCATTGATAATGATTCACTTTTCCACCAAAACGCCCTAACTCCTACTATAAGTTTCAGGGAGGAATGGGAAGAAATGTAATGACCTTGAATGGGTCTATACTGGACCAAAAATAGAACATGATAAGCGATTTCTCTCTCTCACAAAGTGTGTGAATCTTATTATGTTTAAATTATTTTGAATTTTTGCCTTGAGTCTTTTTCTTATTTTAAATAAAATTTACAAATTTATTTAAATAAAATCATGAATTTTTTTATGTGACATAGATAATTATNCAGAAACACCATCGACAGTGTCCTGCTTTTCCACCAAAACTCTGCCACTCCCACTAAGTTTTAGGGAGAGACGGGGAGAAATGTAATGACCTTGAATGCATCCATGCTGGACCAAATATAGCAAACAATAAGCAATTTCTCCCTCTCACGGACTGTGCTATTTCTTCTGTTTAAATTATTTTGAATTTATCCTCTCCTTGCTTTAAGAAAATTCAATTTTATGATGCAATGCAAGTCTTTCTCTTATTTAAATAAAATTTACGAATTAATTTAAATTAAATCATGAAATCTTTTACATGATGTAGAAATGACATAGCTAATTACCTAATCAATTTTACATGAAGTTTTTTGTAAGAAGTGAATAAAGTGTTTTTTTAATAAAAAAAATTTATATAATTGTGTACAAATGGTCTTAAATAGACTTGACTGAATATTACATAATGGAAAGGAGAAATGCAGAGACCTTAATAGGTCAAGGGAAAATGTAATAATTAGTCAGATGGAATCGCCTGTATGGACCCTGTATATATGAACTTCTGGTTTGGATCAGAAGTCACATGATTCTTTTTAAATTAAGAGATGTGTGAGCCCGAGGGGTTTGAGTTCGAAAATTTTTAGGGTTAACATATTTTTTTCATTAGAGGATGGAAAAAAATATAACGGAAATAGATCGGATGTGGAATCTTACACATCGTCCGTTTGTCAATTAGTCAATGTGCACGTACTAATTAGTCAGCATAACAAGTGAACGACCTGTTGGCTCAGTGCCAACGATGATCGTATAAAAACGATCGTCACGAGAAGTTCGGGGCGATCGTCCCCTCAGTGCGATAGTCCCTCCGAGCAATCCTCAGGAAGGTCTGAATACAGTGTCTCCCGTCCCGATCCTGTCAGAGGAGAAGCCGGTAGAAGACATAAGCCTGTGACAGATAGCCAGCTTCCATAGTCCAGAAGGATCGTCACATACCGCCCTCCGACATAAGGTATAACTGACTGCCTATATAACTCTCTCACTCCAGAGCCTGTAAAACTCTCACGCGGCATAGTGAATAGTTACATCCCTTATAGATAAATTTATGTTATCCGCATCTAGGCTATAATCAGTAACTTGTATACTCCTGTAAATTACTTTAGTTATATAATAAACCTTTATTTTATTCTTTGTTAAACCTGTCTCCTGTTTATTTGAGGAAACCTGTCGACTTACCGACGCACTCCCCACTCGATTTGCCCTCCTAGCCATCCTACGACTCCGAGATCGGGCTTATATAACCAGCCTGTGCAGATTAAGTGGTCAGTACGAGATTGACCCCTGACCCACTGCGTATCTCACAGATGATTAAAAATTGCAGCTGTAGCTTGGCATTATGATTATGTCAAATAAATACTTGTAAAAGTGTCGTTGATTTTTTTTGCAAAAGAAAAACTTTACAGTATAAGATATATTTCGCTTATAGGGCACATCCTATATGCTATATGCATCTTACACTGAATTATTTTAAAAAATAAAATTACAATATACAAGCATACTGTATGTTTTATATTATATCGTAATAATAATTATAAATTCCTGGTTTTTAGGAATCAAATTATTTTTGATTAACAATTTATGAATTCTGAAACTGTTATAATTATTATTTATTTATTTATCTGTTTAAATACTTAATGTTTAGTGATTTAAAGCAAGAAAGTGATTCAAGTGATGAAGATGAAATAGAAGAAAGTCTACAAAATGGAAATGATTTCTTGGTAAATTTCATTATTGTTATTTTTAAAATTATTGCTCTATTTTATTTATTAAAATATTTGTTACTCAATACTTTAGAAAATGAATCTTTTATCACATCAAGGAGTGGACAAGTTATTAAGAAATTTAGAAGCAACTCAAAGTCCAGTAAAATTGATGCATCAGAAAGAAATATTATTAGCTAATGTTTACAGAGCAAGAGATCACAGAAAACATAGATTGTCTCATGAATTACGAGTAATATTAGCAGAAAGAGATGCTGCAATAGAGAAGGTAAAATTCAATGTGTTTCATATACATTCTCATCCTATCATATAAATTTTACTTTACAAAAAACTATTATTATTATTATTTCTGATTTATTCAAATATATTGTTAAGTATAATATTAAGGAATATATAACTTAAACTCATACATTTATAAGAGATATAAAAATATTTTTTAATAAAAACATACAGTAGAGCCTAATAGTAACTGACTAAACAATTTTTTAAACGGATAAATTTTTCATAAAAATATGGTAATTAGTATAAAACAAGAATAAGTAATATATTTTTATTTAAATAAATCATAAATCATAATTATATTTTATAAATAAATTTATAAAATAAAATTTTAAAAACTAAAATTTAAATATTCAAAAGAAACAGATAAAAATCAAAAAGATTAATGTAAATGATAAAAACAAAGTTATTATTGATACAAAAAAGTATTATTTATTTCTAAATAATAATTTTTTTTAATTATATCTGCATGTATTATATCAATGAACTTGATGAGTATGCATTGCATAGTGTCTAATGTGTCTGATTTATATATATATCAATATTAGTTACAGGGTTAATGTATATATTTTTTTAACCTTTGTAATTAATATCAAACATATGCTACAAATTTTTCAATAAAAGATCAAACATATACAATGACATTCTTAAGTTGGGATTGAGATAGACAATTAATTCTTCATGTGGGCTTTAAGTATAAATTTTTCCAATCTCCTATAATGAATGGTTTCCAAGAAAAACATGTGGGTACAGGTGGTCTGAAATTACCTGTATAAATCTTTCTTATGATTAAGTTTAGATAGGCTTAAACATGATTCTGGAAAATTCATTTTCAATTATTAATATAAAGACATTTAAAGTCATTAATTTCAAATTGTTTACAATGCAATTGATATTGTTTACTTGGAAAAGGAAAAAATTAGAGATTTATTTCACACATACTCTGAAGATATTAATAATAAAAGTAATGAAAAGAACTTAAACTTTATTTTGACTATTTTACTAAACAACCTTCTAATTCTTAATTTCTGTCTTTGATATGTGACAATGAAATCTGCTCTGCAAGAGATAAATATGGAAGACCAATGAAAGCTATTTACATTATTGCTTTTAGAATTACATTTATAATTATTTGGAAAAATTATTTATTATATTTAATCATCAATATGACATTATAAATGTTTCTGATTATTTCTGATTTGAGTATAGTTTGTCTTATTAAATCTAGTTGGTAATTTTCAAAGTACATGATATATTGCCAAATTCTTTTAACAAATAATTTCTTTTTTTTAATACTTTGTGTAATTCACATTTTCATATTATATATTTAATAATGATTGCATTTTATCAAAATATTTTCCAGGCAAGAAGCTTGGAAGAAGAATTGTTACAGTGGCGTCATTCTAATAGCCTTTGGCAGGCAGATACAAAACAGTGGGAATCAAATTTACTGGTATGTTGTATAGTAAATATGTATCACTGAAATAAAAAGTCCATATATTCATAAATTAATTTTTTCATTATAAAATAGTAATAATAGATTTTATTTGAATTTTAAATTTGCAGTTTGAAATTGAAGTTTAATAAAAACTTATAACTTAAATTTAATATAGCTGTGTAGTGTACAAATTATTTGAATTGATAATGATGATTAAATTATGTGTAATACAGTTATGACATAAAATTTTATTTTTAGTTAATTTGAACACTATGGCATGTTTTTTCATTAGAAATCTGTGACAAAATGTCTACTCTTTGTGTTCTCTATCAGCATGCCAATTACAATTAAATTAAATAATGAAAATAATTTATCTTGCTATGAAAAGTCATCAACTGCCATGACAACTTGATAGAACCCCCTAAATGTAACAAAATTAATGAATTGGATTTTATATAAATAAATTTATTAAACTACTGTTTAAAAATATATAGGTAAATGATTATTAGACTTTAGATATTTTTTATAAATGATTAAAATTTTGATTTGTTATTTAATATATGCTAAATATTTTAAGAATAATTTGTGCTTGTTAGTTGAAATTAATTCAAAAGCATTTAATTATCTTCAAAATATCATTAAGTTTAAATTTAAATTGTGATATTCTAAAATCACTGAATCTTTAAGAAAATAAATTTATATTAAATGAATAGGTAATGTATTTGGGGAAAAAATACTACTATATTATCAGGCTACCTAAAGGAATGTTTGATGGTCTGCTGGCCAAAGTGGTTAAGACATCAGCCTACTACTCTGGGGATCCAGGATTGAATCTGGACAAGCAATCACAGGAATTTTTCATGAGTGTTCTGTTTCAAATATGTTGGGCTTTGTCCCTCACCACCCAATCACCCCATTTTGGGGTTGACCAAACCCATGATGGGAATTTAAAAAATGCCTCTTAGTGCTCACAAACATAAAAATTCAAAGGAATGTATAATGTTTCTCCCATAGTTTTTGTATGAAATTTGTGATATGAAATTTCTGTAGGAAATTACTAAAATGAAAATAAAACCATAACCTGCACTGCCATGTAACTTGTACCTATAGATGTAACTGTTACTCTATAGACATAAGTTTGTACTTGCAATTCAAAATCAGTATATAACTTGCACCATCACATAATCTGCACCCTTTTTTTAAATTGTCTTTTACAGATAAATGTGAGGCCCCAGAAATAGCCCCGCAAAAGGGAAAGATATAAGAAAAAAAAAAAGGTTTGTTAAGTTCAATCATCAAGAAAGCAAATTATATAAGTATTGAATCGGCGATACTGGACTTTGACATCAGCGCTCATAGAGAATAACGGGAAAAACAAAATTTTAGATATAAAAGAAGAAAATTTAAAATATTAAAGTTAAGACGTAGTTTAGAAAGCAAAACGAAACTAAAAAAAAAATGTCAAAATGAGCATTGGTGTCATAGTCAACAATTAAACGTGATCAGATTCGAAAAGATGGTGTCGGATAAACCATCTCCAGCCGACCTTTCCTGTGAACTTTATGAAGCTCCATTTACACCTGGAGACAGGTGGATGACCAATTGGAAAGCGGTGATGTAAGGTCTATCCAATTAGTATTGAATAAGAAGCCGATCACAAAAACTCTATAAAAATGCAAAATTCAAGGACAACGGGACTTCCACTAAGACTTCCACTAATCTTCCACTAGACTTCTGTTGTGTTCGTGTCGTCTCCGCTTATTTTATACCTCCGTTCTTCTTTTTGTGCACCGACTTTAGAGACTTTGAACTTTTTTCTCTCAACACTGTCAAAGGGGCCCCTACGACGCTGGACAAGATCGCAGCCGCAATTACCGACGACGCAAGACCAGTACCAGAATCAAAATTTCCCAACAACACAGGATTTTGTCAATGAGAGACTTTATGTAAGCATTATCGTCCGGAATAAACGGTTTACCTTTGTAAACACTTGTCTTTGCTGCCTTTAAAAACCGCCACCCACATATGCGTAGACCTTAGACCATCCCGACAATAGGGGAATAAAAATGTCTCCCCCAATCGGCGTTCTTACATAAACTGCAGATAATTTGTGCAAAAATACTGTAGATTTTTTAGTCTAATTGATTTATAACATATTCTTATAAGTAATTAATAAATAAATAGTCAATTTTAATTTTTAATTACATATTGAACTGAAAGATCATCAAGTTGATATCAATATTTTCTTAAATTTTATTATCTGATTCTCCTTCTCATTAATGTTAAGATTATAATGAATTTTGATTATTGTATTTCTTTTAATGGTATTTACATTGATTTAAAAATACCTTTTAATTCAAATATAATAGGAAGTCTCACTGAAATACTGCTAAGTTTTCAATTAGAAATTTCCTATTGTACACAACAATAATAATCAAGATTTATCAATTATTCTATTTCTTAAATTTCTTAGGATACTTTACGTCAAGTTATTACGGAGAGAGATACATCTATTGCTAAAGTGAATGAATTGGAAGAAAAATTACGTCTCTGCTATCAGTAAGAATCAAATTTTTCTTTCTTTCAACTATTCTGTTTTTTTTTTATTAGATCAAATAAAATACATTATTTAAATGGGTTAATTAACTATATTGGAAAAATAACTGAGAGAAAGAGAGCAAGAGTATAAAGTTTTAAAATAGAATGCATTAATTAAATGGAATGGGTTAATTAACTATATTGGAAAAATAACTGAGAGAAAGAGAGCAAGAGTATAAAGTTTTAAAATAGAATGCATTGCTGTGAATATTCTTAATTAATCATTAAAAAGAAGAAATTAAGTCTGAAAATATCATAAATTTCAAGAATTATGGTGAAATTTCAAAACAAAAAGTTTTTATTAATTTTTCAGATAGTCAGATATACATTTAAAAACCTATTTAATCCTTCTTAAACAAGTTAATTATTTGCTCTCTTATTAAAAAAAAATAAAATTGATTATAAATTTAATATTAAATAAAATATTTTTACTTAATATTTTTAAACATATCTAAAAAGTTTAACACTTAACAAAGTAATAGGTTCAACAATAGTTTTAAAAACTTTGTGTTTTTGTTGTTAATAACATAAATATAACACAAATTTGTATAACTCAAATTTGTGTTATATTTTAAAACTGTTAAAACATTTTTAATATGTCATTAAAATCATGCCTTTAGAAACAAAAAATTCAGATTAGAATTTTTTTCAGAAGATAATAGTAGATACAGTAAAACCTTGCTTTGTAGCCATCCCTAAAATTCCTCTATGAAACTACATAAGTTTTAATATAAATCAAACTCCATCTTAATGGCCGCTCACTTATGTGTCCAAGATAGGAGCATCCAAAAGTAACATTTAGCCAAAAGACAGCAACTATTTTTCCCTGTTTGTGGCCAGCAGAACAGAGAAAAACCTCATTTCTAAATTTAACATATTGTTTAAAGTGCTTTAATGAAATTGAGCATTGTTGCTATAGTTTAGCATAGTTTGCTGATCCCTCCAACAGACAACATTCAAATAAAATAAATCTTTATTGACATTTGACAAATTAAATTTAAATTTATGTCCAGAATTTTGTAAGAAAGACAATTATATATTTGTTCAATAATTTTATATAAAACTTTCTTGTATTTTGTAAAAAAATATAGTAATGTAAATTACTAATGATTGAGCTACATCACTGATGCATCACTCAACAAAGAAAAATATTGATGATACTGTTGTAAAATCTGGTTTAATTATTTAACTTCTGAATTTGCCTGTTAAAATACAGTATTCAAATAAAACCTTTACTTCCAATTCATAAACATATTGATTTTGTTGGAGTATTCATTCCATCTGTGGATACTAAGCAATTTTATTTAGTACCGTACTGAACAGTACTTGAATGAATCCTATTGCAAATAGCTTGCATTCACTGTTCTTTACATATACTCTATTTCAATATTATATTATTCAGTGTTAATAGATTATCCTTTATGAAAGTCTGGATTACTATATATAGCAAAGAATTTATAGTATTATTTAAATTTTTTTATTAATTTATTTTTATAATTAAGTTTCTTATGCTTCAAATTTTGCAATTTTGTTTATTACCTATACTTTTGTGTAATCAAAAAATATATTTTTGTTGTCAAATTATTAATATTATCTTTAATTTTGAAATTATCAAAAATCAGTGTAAAGTAATTTGCATTTCTCTTAAATTCCTAACAATTCTGAAAAGCAGTAAAATCTTGATTACATATACTTTTGGGACACACTGTAGTATGGCAAGGTATATTTAAAGCCAAGAATTTCTGGAAGCAAAAACTTGTAAAGAGCTGATTTTATTTGATCATTGCTTTTGCTTTCTGCAATAAACATTTCTCATCCTGATGTTTAGAACAGCTGATTTCGTTCCTTTTTTGTTGCAATTATGAATGATATTACTGATAATCTTTTTAGAAATGCTTGTTATTTTCTCTGCCTTTCTCAGACAAAAATAAAATTCCTTAGAATATATTCTGTTGCACAGAATTCAAGTTACACTACTAGTACAAATGCAACACAGTTAGCAGATTGTGATGATAGTCATCTGCAGGATCACTTTTCCTTCTGATAGAACTTCTGACCATATTATTTACAGGAATTTGCAGAGATTCAAAAATTTTTGAGAAACTTTCCAAATTCATGGCAATCTAAAGCACAAGTTGTGATCAGTTATTTCCAAATTAGAAGTTACAAAATGCACGTCATAATGGGTTAAATATCATTTCATGTGGGTTGTTTCACAGAGGCTTGCATCCAGATCAGGCTAAATTATTTTAAAATTTCAAATAATAGATCATATTTGCCATAAACCAGACATCTATATGAGACATAACATGCCTAAATGTAAATATTTCTATACTTGGATTTTAATGAAGGAATACTGTATGAAAGTGAACCAGACTTAATATCTTTTTAAGTATGAAAATGATATATTTTATTAAATGGTATGGTATATTTTGTTTTAATTAAGAATTACATCATGCATATTGTGTATATTTACATTATAAGTGTATGACAACTTAATAATTATAAATATTGCAATATAGTAAAACCTGTCTATAGCCCACTGTTCCTTCAAAAAGTGGTCTTTTAGACAGGTGGTCATCCAATACAGGTGGTGCTGTAATATTGTATTTCCGTACATATTTTGAGCACTTTTTAGCCATTTCTACTAAGCAAAACTCGAGGCGAGCAAAAATAAGTGAATTTTTTCAACGATAGGGCTATATTGGTATTGTATTTTATTCTTATCAGACAACTCGATTTACAGGAGTTGTCATGATTTTATAAGACCGATTTAATACCAATATTTTAAAGATTAATACAATAGTCACATTTTCTCGATTATAATGCACACTTTCTTTTTTCCGACTTAATTAATTCAACTCGGTTCTTTTTGTTCGCTCCTCAGTTACATGCATTACATCATTGATATATAAGCGCATTGTATCTCTACATCATTTTGGTTTTGATATTTGTTAGTTTAATCTTATTTTAACTTTAAAAATACTGTATTTTTTAATATTTAATATTTTCTTAAGTACAATAAGAAAAATTATTAATTAATAATAAAACAATTTTATTATTTTTNAACACCAAGGCTAGGTTGATTCCTCACATCTGTTGAGGGCATTGCAGTAGCCATGCTTGGGCCAGCGCTGCTTTCGCCACCAGTAACCAAGGGAGACTGCAGCCTATTTTTCGAACGTGAGCCTCTGCCTAACCCACGAATGTGACCTTGTTAACCCAAGCGACCTCCGAGCCAGTATCATACTTAGATGTGGTTACTACCATGATAAATATCTCCACAGAATGTGGGTGTGGTCACTCTTAGCTTCATTTCTCTCCATAGATCTTACTGACATGGGTGTTCCTACCAGGAGCTTGTGCTCCAGCCTGCATTGCCCTATGGATCAGTAAAATTACTGGGCTCTCCCACCACGACCAGGTGGTGACCACGGGAGGGTTATTAAAAATTATTCAATATTTATTGTTAGTAACCATATTGTAAAATCTATCTTATTCTCTATATGCAATAGAGTAGAAGAAAGCATTGCAAGTAATTTTCTATGCGATAAAATGATGAAATTTGTAGATAATTGTTAATAATCTTTGTAAATTTAGCATCTTTTATTGATTCTAAAAGATTATATTAATAATTTTCTGAAATTTAATAGAAAAAAATTTCGAAGATTACTTAGACAGAAGAGAAATTAAGCTTTATGTTTTATTTTATTTTATTTTGAAAAAGAGTTGAAATTTACAATAAAATCAAAATAAAGAGAGAAATTAAGTTAAAAAAAAAATAGTCACAGTATTGTTCAGAAAAGAAGCATATAAATGTATAAAATATTAAAATTATAATCAAATCTTTGTACAGAACATCTTTTATAACTTAATATAATCTTGATTTATTGTTCCATAATTTCCATTCTTCATATCTACAAAGGAAACTCTAAAAGCTGTAGAATTGGAACAATTACTGAATAGAAATAAGTGGTAATTCAATTGTCATTTAGATCTTAGCCAAAAAATTTTTTGGAAAGTATAATTCATTGGGAAAAGAAAATAGATGCAAGAAGCCATAAAAAAAATATATCATTTAAGAAAATCTATCATTTTAAAAAACATTTCTGCTGAGCTTTTTAATTAAACATTTTTATAAATGTTAAAATCTAAATGTGAAAAATAGAAATTTGAATATTATTATAAAATTTTTATATACTATTGATTTTTGTAATATCTTTTTCAGTTTACAAGCCTCACTTATTGGTGTCAATAATCAGCAAGGTATATCAGAAATAGAACAGCTAGATGTGTTTCAAAAAACAGAAAGCTCTCAAGAATCAACACAGAAAGGATTTGGAGAGACTAGTCTCATAACATCATTGCTTCAGTCAAATTTAAATAATGAAGAAAAATCACATTTACAAAATGAAATGTCCACATTAAGTTTACAGTTGGAATCAGAAAAAAAGGCTAGAGAAATAGCTGAAGAAAAGTATCAAAAGTTTGTGATGTCTTTACTTTTTAATTTTATAATTCATTAGATGATAATTTATAATTTTTCAATGTGTTCAAAAATTAATAAAAATTCATATACAGTAAAATCTGCTTATTGTAATCACTTCAGAACATGCCTATACTGATGATAACTGACTGATAATGTTAAGCATAAGACTAAAATTAGACTAAATAAGACTAAAATTAGTGGAAATTCTGCTTTTTTATTGACTCTGGCATTGAAATGACATGTTAAAACAATTAACAGATATAAATTTTAAGATTTGTTACATTATTATTAATTCAGTAATTCATTAAATGTTTTTTCTGTACTATCTTTAACAAAATTAGTTTATAATTGAAGTATAAAACAACAGAATTTAAACTATTACTATGAACAAATAAGAATTAAAAGTTAAGCATTTAACAACTAAAGCACCAGTTAAGACTGATGATGATTGCACATTATCAGCCAAATTAAGTCTGATAGCATAAAAAGGCAGCTTAAAAATGTCCATTTATCTAAAGATAATAACTATAACTGCAATTCTTATTTTAATAAGTGAAGTTTATAAATTTATTTTAACTTGCATGTTTGAAAACATGCAAATTCTGATAGCATTACATGATTGAAAATAATATCTTTGATTATAATAAGCTGATTGTACTGTACATTCTATAATTGTATTGTTGATAATATATATGTTACAGTCAAAACCCGTTTTTAGTTAGAACGCGTTTTAACTAGTTGAAACTAGTTTATACTAAATGTCTTTGTTAAAACCCGTTTTGTCTAGTTGAAACTAGTTTATACTGAATGTCTTTGTTAAAACCCGTTTTGTCTAGTTGAAACTAGTTTATACTGAATGTCTTTGTTAAAACCCGTTTTGTCTAGTT